TGGAGCTTCCCTTTATGTGTCTAGCAATTTGCTTTCCTCTTTTCTTATGTTCTTAAGGCAGACCTTAGCATGCAGTTTTCCTTCAGGAAGAAAGAGAAAGCTTGTTTTCTCCTGCTCTGGTAGGTAGGACTTGAACCAACGGCTTCAAGTTACAAGGAAGAGATTCCAACTGAACATTCGGAAGAACAGGAAGAGCTGTTATACAGTGGAACGGACTCCCTCGGGAAGTGGTGGACTCTCTTTGCTTGAAGGTTTTTAAGCAGAGGTTGGATGGCCACCTGTCATGGATGCTTTAGTTGAGATTCCTGCATTGCAGGGGGTTGGACTAGATGACCCTGGGAGGTGCCTTCAAACTCTAAGATTCCAGACCCTCCAAGTGTCCCTATTTTCCAGGGACAGTCCTGCATTTACAGAAGCTGTCCCAGTTTCTGATGTGATCCTGGAATGTCCTGCTTTTCCTTATGACACCCCTATTTTTGTTGGAGAAATGTTGGTAGGTTTGGTAAGACGTCCCTATTTTCATCAGAGAAATGTTGGAAGGTATGGAGTTATGTGACCTCCCCGAGTCAAGGAGATAAGTAACTACACAACCTTTAGAAGACATCTGAATCCAGCCCTGTACACTGGTACTTTGGTTCTCAAACTTAATTCGTTCCAGAAGTCTGTTCCAAAACCAAAGCCTTCCAAAACCAAGGCATGCTTTCCCACAGAAAATAATGGAAAATGGATCAACCCGTTCCAGACTTTTAAAAACAACCCCTAAAACAGCAATTTAACATGAATTTTACTATCTAACGAGACCATTGCTCCATAAAATGAAAGCAATAAACAATGTACTTCAGTCACACAATCAGTCAATCAGTAACTGAAGTGGGTTCCACACAGTCACAAAAACGAAGAAAGAGCCACAAAAACAAAAACGCAAAATAAATAGGAAAAACAGACAGACCTCAGCCTAACACTCAAAACGGAAGTGTGACACTCAAATCAGAAGTGTAACAGTCAAAATGGAGCACATTCAGCTTCTGAAAAAAGTTCACAAACTGGAACACTTACTTCCGGCTTTGCAGTGTTTGGGTTCCAAGTTGTTTGAGTACCAAGGTGTTTGAGAACCAAGATACTAATGCACAGGGAAGTTTTTTTAATATTTAATGCTTTGTTATGTTTTTATATGTTGGAAGCCGCTCAGAGTGGGTGAGATATAATAGTAAGCAACAACAACAACTGGTAGGACGTCCCTATTTTCAACAGAGAAATGTTGGGTGGTATGTGATTCAGAGTAAGAACATGAGAAAGAACACCTACTTCTTCATACTGCTTGTCTCGGCTGTTAGATTAAAATTAAAGGGAATATTTATGATGACCGAGCAGATGTAGAAGCCCAGCTGTGCAAAATTATTGTTTTTTATGGTGTGTGAGTCCTTTCATTCCAGATTTGATTTCTGCTGAAATAAGTGGCATGGCAGCACAGATGCTCAAACAACGATGTGCTCTCCCAAGCTCGCATTCCCAACATCTTCACAATCCTGTCTCAGCGAAGACTGTGCTGGCTTGTTCATGTCCAAAAGAATGGAAGAGATAGCAGGATCTCCATGGATGTGCTCTACAGGGAGCTGGCTTCAGGTACCAGGTCCATGGGCAGACCAACTCTGAGTTACAAAGATGTCTGCATGCATAACATGAAGGCTGGCAACATCTACCCTGCTGTGTGGGAATCCCTTGTGCATGACTGCAGTGCCTGGAGACTGTAAGTTAGGGGGTAACACAACTCCATACCCTCCAACATTTCTCAAGTGAAAATAGGAACATCCTAAGGAAAAGCAGGACATTCCGGGATCAAATCAGAAACCAGGACGGCTTCTGTAAATTTGGGACTGTCCCTGGAAAATGGGGACACTGAGAGGGTCTGCCAGGCCCAAGCATCGTGGGGCGTGGCAGGGGGATAACACAAACTTGAAATGCAGTGGTACCTCAGGTTACATACGCTTCAGGTTACAGACTCCGCTAACCCAGAAATAGTGCTTCAGGTTAAGAACTTTGCTTCAGGATGAGAACAGAAATTGCATGACGGGAGCAGCGGGAGGCGGCATTAGCTAAAGTGGTACCTCAGGTTAAGAATGGACCTCCGGAACTAATTAAGTACTTAACCTGAGGTACCACTGTATAGTCCCTCTCAAAATAACCTAAGAGCCCTGCTGGATCAAGCCAAAGGCCCATCTAAGCCTACAAGCAGAATTTGGGTGCGAGAAAAACTCCCCACACTTGCGATTCCCAGAAACTGGCCTCAAGAGGCATACTGCTTCTAACCGTGGAGAAGGGAGCATAGCCATAGTGTCTAGAATCTAGATAGCCTTATTCTTCATGAATGATGGCCAGGGATGATGGGAGTTGTAGTCCCGTAACCTCTGAAGGCCACCAGGTTGAGGAAGGCTGCCGTAGATGGATCATGAAACATAGTGACTTTAATGCTAAATTACACATTTCTGAAATTAAACCACTGACCACAGAGGCTTTGTTGCCGTCAGGGCCCCAGGATGAGGCCCAACTCCCCACTCATGGTAATGGAGTTGCAGACTTCACCAGAATACCCTGGATCTCCAAGCCTCACTAAAACTTACCCTTGTTCTTCGCCTTGCCTGGTGTTGCATTTACTGGGAGCCTCACCTTCTAATGGGGCTTACTTCATGTAGGTCACCCGTCATTCAACTGATGTCAACATGATGCCTGGTCACTCCATTTAAAAGGAAGGTTTGAAGTCGAACTCCCAATTCTTCCTTCGCTTGGCATTTGCTCAGGATTTTTTTTACCTTTTAGTCAATACTTGGAAGTTTCCCGCACTCAAATGTCATCAGACCATGGTAAGGTTGGTGTGGTTTGCCCTAAAGAGCCTGAAAAATCATCTTTTAAGTCCCACAGGCTAGGAGTTCCCTGTTACTTCCATGTACGTGCCTGTCCCCTGTTCTCTGTAGGCAAGAAGCAAAAATTAAATTTGGGAGATGGATTAGAAGCTTGGGAATTACAAAGTCTGAGGCATTTCATAAATCTTGCGGTCCTCCCAATTCTCGCTGGACACAGCAACAGAGTTTGAGAGTGTTTTAAAATTGGGCACCCTGTGAGCCCAAAATTTGGCGCCTCCAGAGGGATCTTTTCAATTATGGATCTTCTCAAACCACCCGCCCCCACCTCTTTCCACTTTGTTAAGAATTACCTAAATCAGACTACTGCTTGAACGGCTATCTGCATGGAGTGCCCGTCTCACACATTAAATTAGGTGTGTGGCATGGAGGGCCAAGACCTACCCCTCAATCAAGCAAAGATTATCGCTACTCAGGTGTCTGGGACTAAGGTTTCAGATAGCACACCTTACAGTTCTGAAACATTAAACAAATCAATCCATTATAAATGGGAGCGTGTCATCAAAAAATACTTGTACACTACATTTTGATGCTTCTTAAGAAAAACAGCTGTTTTTGCTAGGTTGCCTTTGTAATCCCCATTTTTAAATGCCCCAAATCTCATTTTTTTCAAAACTTGGCCTCAAAATTCTTTGGCAAGCAAGTCTCAAAACCAGTTATAAAGGTTTGCTTTAGCATACACCAGGCCTGTCCAACAGGTCGATAGTCAATCTACCAGTCAATCGTGGGGTGTCCCTGGTTGATCATGGGATCCTAATGCCCACCCCCCAAAACAGCTCAACTTTGGCTCATCCTACCCCCATGGACTGCAAGATCAAACCTATCCATTCTTAAGGAAATCAGCCCTGAGTGCTCACTGGAAGGACAGATCCTGAAGCTGAGGCTCCAATACTTTGGCCACCTCATGAGAAGACTCCCTGGAAAAGACCGATGTTGGGAAAGATGGAGGGCACAAGGAGAAGGGGACGACAGAGGACGAGATGGTTGGACAGTGTTCTCGAAGCTGCCAGCATGAGTTTGACCGAGCTGCGGGAGGCAGTGGAAGAGAGGAGTGCCTGGTGTGTTCTGGTCCATGGGGTCACAAAGAGTCAGACCCGACTAAAACAACTCCCAAAAAGCTCAACAACTCTGGTCAATCCAATGGGTAGATCACTGCCAGTTTTTGTTTTTGTTTTATAGTGGGAGTAGATCACAGTCTGTTGGAAGTTGGGACAGCCCTGGCATGCACAATGCAAGTCCTGCAGCAAATGGAGAAAGATGTGTAAACATTTCCAAGAGCAGTATCTGGCCTGAAGCATTTCAAAGTTATTTGGAGCTAAGCAACTCAGTAAATTCCAGAAGGTGGAAGTCCATCTTCAAAAACAGAGGACACCAGAACTCATCCTCGCCCAAAAAGTACTGCATTTGTCTTACCAGGATGCAGTTCTTGCTCCCTATCCTGTTGAGGACTAAAACTTTATTGCATGGACCTGTGTAGACATCAGCTATTCCCTCCTTTCATTTCAAGGATTTGCAATGTGTGTCTATTAGCAGCTTTCCTAACTTTATGAAAAGTAACATGACATTTAAAGAAAGCCTAGATGATGTACCACTCATTTACACTGCTTTGCAAATTCTGAGCCGTATCCAACCAAGTTGTCCCATTGGCACAAGAACCTGCACACTCCCTAAATCTGTTCTGGATCAGGTTTGGAGGACACACAGAGGGGAAAAGGGAGGACTGGTTGCACAGGTGAAAACATAGCTTTGTTGTAGACAACCCCAGGCCTGCATTTGGCAAGCAAAACTGCTGGTTGTTACTGTGGCCCCGATTCTAATGTAAAGGAAGTTACAGTTCTCCACCTCTTGCTACCCCCAGCACCTCCCAAAAAGCCTCTGGAGTATTGGAGGGGGGGCATCCAAAACAATGTAGGATGGGGACATTGCCTAGAATTTGGCATGGATCCTAAGTGAGCTTTGTATTTCAGCCCATAACCAATTACCTTGAAGTGCACTTTACTGAATTGCCGTTATTTAACAACATATTTGAAGCATTTAACTGTAAAGAGAAATAATATTTAAAATAAACTCATTTAACTAAATATATAAAACCTCTGTAATTATTGTTTTATTAGTATCAACCAGGAAATCAGATGTTCAGTATTCTCCTGAGGTTATACATAAACAAATGCAAAATTGAAGAATCGTAAAAGTCAAAATCGTATAACAAAACAATACTCCATCAAAAAAGTGTGTAAAGTTACAAGAATGCTATCTTTAAACACTGGCACATGAGAACCATAATTTTTAACTACAGAATTGCCAATCAGTTCCCAAATTAGTCCGCAGGTAAATGTGAAGAGAGTTAATAATTGCCAGCACTTTTACTGAATGTGCACAAACTTTTAACTTTGGTTTTCAAAGCAACCTATATTTTATCAAATCAGAGGTCATTGGAATACCATGTTACATCTCACACCTATATGGGGAAAAAGTAATTTCCCTATACAGCTAATTTTAACTTACAAAATGGGCAAATATCAAGAATGCATTATAAAAAGACTAACAGAAAAAGATACATCTCATCTGACTTTTGAGACAATATAAAATTTTGAAAATGGGATAGTCTAGGACTACTATGGTTATGAAAGCATGAATTCATACAGATTGAACAATGGTACCACTTATAGAAAACATTAGCAAAGTAAAATATTTTCCTGTGGGACATTTACTACCAGGAGAGGTCATTGTATAAAGCCCACAACTATTACTTGACATGGTATCCTAAAAGGATTACAGTAATTTTAGCATTTGACATTACCTGCTTAGGTAGGGTACACTCACCTCTGTATTCAGGTATTTGCAAATACAACTCTCATTATGGCCAATGGAGTCACATATGTAAATCCCTCACAGCTCAAAATGAAAATATACTCTCAGTGGTCCTCCAAGGACACAAATTTGAAGTTATTTTCCCCTGGAATTATTCCATGCTACTGAACTGAATTCTATATTCCTCAGCCCTCAGAAACTGGTAAATTTACACAAATCAGTAGAATATTGTATGTAAGCAAAAGCTGAGCAAATACAGATTGGCTAAGAACAGGGTTCTCAAAAAAAAAAAAGTGGCCTCTTATATGAAGGGAAAAAAACACACAACGCTTTGCATATGCCTGTATATATTTCCTACCCTATCATGATTATCTAGGGCGTAGATCAAAGCTCTTGTATCAGCTTATAGGAATGAAGAAACAAAAATGCCATTTTTATGTGATCCCCAAAGGGCATAACAGAGAGAATATGCTTTCCAGAAAGAAAGACTTTACAAGGGCATCTATTAAAAGGACAACAATACTAATTTTAAAAAAAAATGTATTTACTTAGAAGCAATCAGAATGTCAACAGCTACATTTTTTTTTTTTTTGCAATTACAGAGTGGTATTTAAGTTAACAGATCAACTATTTATTTTTTTTGATGCAGACAACTGATGAAAATGAGTAACCAACTACATCTGCAAGTATAACTAATTTGTGCTGTGCACCAACAAGGAACCTGCTTTAAACTTTCATGCCAATTTACAACCCCCTCACTGTACTAGGCAAGGTTAGCGGCCACTGAGATACCACTGAAGGACAGGGCTACCCAAAGACACGTCCGGTAGTGTGTTAACTATACAAAAAAAAGAGAGAGAGAGAAATAAAGAAAAAAAGAAGAAAAAGAGAGAGACACTGTACATTTTAAAAACAAATCTTACACAGCTTTATGTTTAATTTTTTTCTCTTTAAAAGGAGTGAGTTGTGTACAGGGGGGTTAAATGCTTTTATAGACAAGAACTGATCTAAAAGAGGGTTATTCATCATCATCCTCTTCTTCCTCATCCTCTTCCTCGTCCTCATCTTCATCCTCTTCATCATCATCCTCGTCGTCGTCGTCGTCTTCCTCTTCCTTCTTTTTCTTGCTTTTCTCAGGCTTAGGTGGAGCTAGCTTTTTGGCTACCTCAGGCTTCCCCTTAGCTCTGTATGCAGCAACATCCTTAGGAGAAGCAGAGAAAGTTTAGCTACTTGACACAGAGGGAAGGGAATACCACTTAAATGAAAATGCACAGGAATCTATATTTGACAGAATTGTAATTCATAACATAGAGCCTGCTCAGATGACTGTCTAAGATTTGTACTACCTGCAGTTCAGAACAACAGTACACTCAGTCAAGAATTCTTATACTTTATTGATAAATTTCATGCACTTCAATTAATGAGTAGACAGTGCCACCTTCAGCATGCAATAAGTTTCTCTTTTTGACTTGCACATAACACTTAATACAGCAAGCCTCAATAAACTCAATGTCAAGCTTACATTAAAAAAATTAAGTACAGTATAGGGTTTCAAACAAATTTTTGTTCTCATTTCCCTAACTGTCCTAAATGATCAGGTTGTTTTTTTTACCCATCTTGCTGCTCTACATCCATGGCTCATAGAATTGTGCCATTAGCTAGATCTTCCTCAGTACCACACTGACAGAGTATCTACACCATGGCTTAATTAATTCTCTCAATTATGAGTGGCTTAATATATTATTATACTGTGCTCTGTTACAAAGAACACCAGAGCACAAAATGCAAACGATCAAGTGTAAAGGCTGTGCAGTCAGTGGGTGCTCTTTTCAAATTCAGAAGCAGCAGCCTGATCTTTCCTTGGTCACTATTTCTAAATATTTTATTAGATTAGCACCTGCAGAATCTTGCAGGAGAGTCCCCTTCACATTTGGTTTTGCAAGCTGGGTATCTTTCTTGTACATGGCCATCCCTCTTCCAAGGCAAAGTAAGTACATGAAAGTGACCTGAGAGTCTGACCATCTTATTTTGTTCACAAGCTATGCTCAAAAAACACACACACACCACTTGTCTGTTAATATTCCTTAACCATTAAAAATAAAGAAAGCAGTGTACTGGCTACAATATTAGCCACTATTAGGAGTGATACACTCCCCCCAAAAAACTATAGCAATTAATACATATGCTCCAAATAAAAGCATGTTATTAGTGATTACATTTAGTTCACATAGCCTACAAGTTTCTTTTCTTTTTAAATTAAGAAACGCTTTCATCAGATCTTTTTAGTATTTTAGCTCCAAAGAACAGTTACTTGGAAATACATTCCACAGATGGAGGTTTTTGTTTACAATACCCAATGTTCTTAGTTTCAATAGAGATTTGCTGGTACCACTTAACATTCCAGAGAAAATGCAAGCATGCGTATGGCTCCATTTCCTATGAGTGACATCCAATTTTAACCATACTCGAGTTCACTCAAATTTCAACGGGTCTACTATGACCAACACTGTACATCACCCAATATTTTAATAACAACAAATATTTGAATGGCAAAGGGGGCTATCTGGAGTTTACCTTTTCATACTTCTCCTTCAGTTTGGATGCCTTCTTTTCAAACGGTTGCTTATCATTTGCGGAAGTATTATTCCACATCTCTCCGAGTTTCTTTGCAACATCCCCAATAGAGAGGCCAGGGTGTTCTCCTTTGATTTTTGGACGATACTCAGAGCAGAACAAGAAAAATGCTGAGCTGAAAATTAAATTATAAACATAAAGGTTAGAACTACTGAACTATGTACAGCAAGGTGGGAACCTTTACTATGTATTGCAAAGCGATATAACAGAACAGACCTATCCATATTTATAAAAAAAGTGAAATTTCTGCCTCCCCACCATTCATCTATCACTCTTTTGGATGTCTATCAGCACAATGCATGTTAGCCATAAAAGCTACTCACGGAGGCCTCTTTGGTGCATTTGGGTCCTTGAATTTCTTTTTCGTCTCTCCTTTAGGTGGTATGTAACTTTCCATTTCTCTTTCATAACGAACTTTGTCAGCTCGTGCCATATCTTCAAACTTTCCTTTCTCTTTAGCAGACATAGTCTATAAAAATAATTCAGTATGCATCCTCAGCTCAAGATTATACCCAATTCCATTCTAAATTTGTAAACTTTATTAGTGAGTATGTTTTCTATTCCTAAGAAATAGCTACATGCGAAATTGCATTTATTTGGGTATTTAAAGTATTACTATTAAAACAAAAAACAATAATGACAACTTACCTTCCACCGTTCTGAACATTTTTTTGAGAACTCTGAAAAGTTCACTGAAGCATCTGGGTGTTTCTTCTTGTGCTCTTCTCGGCAAGTTTGCACAAAGTAGGCATATGAGGACATTTTGCCTCTTGGCTTTTTAGGATCACCTTTGCCCATTTTGGATGATTTCTGAAAGACAAAGTAGAAACATTTGAGAACTATTGGGGCTTCCATACTACTGTACAGTAGACTAAGAAAAAGAAGACGATTAAAAATTGCTTAAACCAACCAGTCTGAGCCATTTCCCTTAATACTTTAAAGCTACATTCTTGGACAACTATCTAGGCAACCAAATAGTTGCACATCAGTGTCCCAGATAGCGTGTCATTTTAAACCATTGCTTGCTCTTGACTTACCATTCATGATTTGCTAGGGAGAAATGAACCACAAGCACTGATTTGCAAGGTTTATTTTTGGCTTACCACTCGTGGTTACTTTGGCTGTTTGTTCACTTTGAAGTTTAAAGGGATTTGCAAACCAGGCGACTGGTTACAAGTCTGTATAAAATGCAGAACAAGTTGCTATAAGATGACTTTTAGTTATTATGCAGTCCTCCATCTCAACATCAGTCAAACTCCTGATGGAACTCCTGATATAAGAAAAGGTATACTACTACATCCCCTGAACACGAAATTTACCTTTACCCAACTGCAAGTCTTCCATACAAGCAACTATAAATTCTATGAAGTTCTGCTAGAACTGCAGAAAACTGATACCAAATTATAGGCAAAAATGTTTTCAATTACTGTTCTGAGAGAAAAGCACTAAATATTGTGAATCCTCTCAATTCGAATCACCCTTTTAAGCTATTTTTCAAAGCACAATTTGTTTAGTCTATAACCTCAATAAAAAAATTCTTGTATTCAGCAGTGGCATATGTACGGCTACCTAAACTTAATGGTAGGCACTGTCAGCTTTGACAAGAATAGCAACCTGTTTGGCATTGATAAGAGACTTCATAACTAGTCTTCCCTAGCACAGTAAGGCTAACCTAAGACAGAAGAGATCACTCCACTTGCGCATCAGGTACAGTGGTACCAAAGGGTAAGTACTCAATTCATTCTGGAGGTCCGTTCCTAACCTGAAACTGTTCTTAACCTGAAGCACCACTTTAGCTAATGGGGCTCCTGCCTGCCGCCGCGCTGCCGGAGCCCGATTTCTGTTCTTAACCTGAAGTTACTGAAGTATTTCTGGGTTAGCGGAGTCTGTAACCTGAAGCGTATGTAACCCGAGGTACCACTGTACTAGATCTGGAGTTCCAAACTCTGAAAAATCCTTTCATGTACATGCAGTGTTCAAAATTAGTGACTGGTAACCTGCCTTTTGCGACTGGAAGGAGATGTTCAGGAGCCACCCTTAGCACCTAGCATTTCCACTTGCCTGGCTGCAGTCAGTTGGTCTGCCTGGCACAGCAGCAGCAAAAGAAGCGTGTCTTTTGCTACTGCACTTCCCCCGCCAAAGACCTGATTTGCCCAGCAGCAAAAGACACGCCATTTTTTCTTTTTACTCCTGTGCGCATTTTTTTTTTTGCTCCCGCGCTATTCTGCAAATCCCTTGATTCGCCCGACAGCTTTTTCTTTTTCTTTGGGGCTGCTGGTCTCATAGTGGGGCAGCAATTTTTTTAAAAGGTGCCTAGACATTTTGTTTTGGTACCCACAACATAGGGCCCAGGAGCCACATGGCTCCTAACATTCCTATCCCAGTTTCTAACACTGTGTACATGGGACCCAGTACAGAAAAGGAGATCTACGCACATTAAGCACTACTACACACTAAGGTTATGCTTGCTAGACTGGGGTATTTAGCTACAAATACCAATATAAAGAGTACAAAAAAATTAAAGTGTCTGCTTTATTATAGGATGCGCTTTCATGCACAATAGCTGCTTCATCATCTGAGGTGGTTTGTGCCTTCAAAAGCACATACTGTAAAAGGGCATTTGTTTTGCAGAAGATGCTATGAGAACCAGCCATGGCCCAGTGACTTTTAGAACTGTGGACAGATTTGGTGGACACTGTATACTTAGGCTGCCAAAAAGCTTTTAACAAACTGAATTAAATTAAAGGTTCTTGAGTAAACCTAGCCTTGGCATAAGAAGGGAGGTCCCTTTATGGATCAATAATTGGCTAACAAACCAGGAAGCAAAAAACTGGACATTTCTCACAATAGAGAGATGCAAAAAAAAATCGTTCAAAAATTATCTGGACTTAGCAAACTTGGCCATCACCGCTAGCAGCACAAAATTATTGACAGTGGAAAACCAAGGAGGAACTGTGAAGATCTCAAAAAGACTCTCTCCAAAATTGAGGAATGGGCAATGAGATAGCAAACGTGGTTCAGTGCATATGTAAAATGATGTACACTGGTGCATGTTATAATCATTAGGAAAAGGACTGAAAATAAAACTGCTACTATTGCAACGTCTTTATGCAAATCTATGGTAAAGCCACAATTGGAAATGCTGTGTATGGTTCTGATCTCCATGGGGAAGGTTACAACCTTTAGGGCTTTTTATTTTGGAAAAAAGCAACTAAGGGGAGACATGACAGAGGTTTATGAAAATATGCCGTGTGGAGGAAGTGGAGACAAAAGTTTGTAATACAGGTGGCAACCATTTTGTGCATATCCAATTGACACACAACTGATGAATGGGTCCTTTTGGACCCAGAAGAGGGCAGAATGGGGATGGGGCATGCAAAATGGTTCCCACCTGACTACAAACTGGTATCATTCAATAGTCAAATGGTGGGAGATTTGGGAAAAAGTACTTCTTCACAAAACGTATTGCTCAATTATGGAATCTGTGTCCACAAGATGTGCTGATAGCCACCAATGGTGACAAATTCTTGACAAATGGAATTAGACGAATTCATGAAGGGAAGACTATCAAGGGCTACAAATTATAACAGCTATTTCTCTCACAGCAATAGAATCATATAATTGTAGAGTTGGAAGGGGCACTGAGGACCATCTAGTCCAACCCTCTGCAACACAGGAATATGCAGGTGTCCCATATGGGGATTAAACCTGCTTGCTGGCTCCAGAATGAGACGCAGCATGCCTCTGAATACGAGTTGCAGGAGAGGGCTACTGCACTTGTGGGCTGGCTACTGTGGGAAACAGTATGCTGTAGAAGTTGGGCCTTTGTTCTGATCCAAAAGGGCTCTTCCCACGTTCTTACTTTTTCAGATTAAGTCCTACAGTTTTCATCTTTGTGCTGACACTTTCTTTCTGAGAAGTTACGATTCCTAGTACAGACCAGGCTTTTCTTAAAGTTCTTCATGACTGTTGAAGAAAGTACTTCTCTACTCCAGTTTGCACAACTTGACTAGGGAAATGCGCACAGCTCTAACTGGCATTGCCACAGAAAGGCATAATTTCCTATCAGTCTGGCATGCGGACAGAAAAAGATTTGTGTTCTCTGACTAAACATGTCCGGTCTAAAGTTTCTGTCAAGTAAACAACACTTAAAAGCCAGGAGCTGCTCGTGTCTACAATGGAGCCTGGGTCTGAAAATGCACTCTCAGAATTAAGACACGAGGCTGCTAGGGCTTAACTTAACAATTAAAACAACAGAAAAAGGAACATGAGGGGGTTATAGATTTAAAGTGTGATATAAAATGTACCTCTGAAAATCTAATTCACAAGTGGTATTTAAAATGCTCATTCCACTGCTGAACCCTTCCTACATTACAGGGTGATGTGAAGGGGGGGGGAATCACTTCAACCCTAAAAATAGAATTTTATAAATATTTTAATTTACCCCTTTTCACATAGCCATGTATTAATTATGAAGGGGATAATTTGTGGAAGGGGAAAGAAAAGTTTTTCGTGAGGGGTAATCCCCCCCCAAAAAACATAAAGCGCACCCCACAGATTTAAAAATGATCAAGGCGCAGCTTTTTCGAGCTCGTCGCGTTAAATTGCATTCCCCTCTTAGAAACTACGCTGCCACGAGCTTCGATGTGCTCAGGCTCCAAGGACGGCGCCCGACAATAAATATAGCTGCAGCTGTAGAGCTTTGGGATTCTTCTCGGTGCGCCTTAATCTACACGAACGAGCCGGGAAAGCGAGTGAGAGAGGGAGGGAAGTAGGGAGGGCTCATAAATGGCGCAGGCTGCTGCCTAAGAAGGTCACCACCGGCAGCGGCGGCGGCGGCGGCAGATCTCCTTCCATTTTGTGCGCACGCCTTGCTGATGAGAGAAAGTCCCCTCGAAATGCGCGTGGCGGGCGCTCAGCCGAGGCGGGGGGGCCGCGCTCTCGCCGGGCGCGCGGGGCCCGGGGTCGCCTCTCGCCCGCGCGGCGGCAATGGCAAGGCAAGCGCTCCTTTTGCATGGGCTCCCGCGGCAGCCGAGCAGGAAGCGAAGCCGCTTCTCGGAATGGCCGCTGCTCATAGAGAATATGGCTCCTTCCTTCCCTTTGTGTGTGTGTGTGCGTGTGCCTGGTGCGCTCTGTACTCTGGCGCACACACTCAGCCATTACAGGCAATGAGGCGGCGGGGGGGGGGAGCGTCTCGTTTCCACTGAGAGCTGCCAGAAGGGCCCCCCCTTTCCAAAACCTCCCCTCTTAATATATATATATATATATATATATATATTGAACCCCGACTCGGGCTTTTAAACGGTCGCTTGCGGAGCTCTCCCCTCTCCGTCGCCCAGGGATAAAAGGCGCCTTGGAAAAAGTTCCCCTGAACTGCGCCCCCGCCCGCCCGTGCGCGCGCGCGCCTCCCCCTGCCTGCCTTGTTTCCTCCCCCCTCCTCCTCTCCCTCTGCCTCCACTTACACACGGCTCTCGTCAGCCATGTTACAGCAAGCGCAGCTCCCGAGGTGATTTATCGCCCCGAAGCCAACAACGCCCAGAGACACTCCCGGGGATTCGCGGGGCTCCCCACAATGAGGGGAAGGGGGTCGGGGAGAGAGCCAGGCAGAGAAAGGAGGACACGACACCCCCGTTTCCCCCCCCCCCACCGCTTCACACAAACACACTCGAGCCCAGCCCCGCGATGCGAAGTCCGTCTCCCCACACGGCTCTCTCACACATTACAGAGAGAGACGGCTCTGCTGCAATGGCTCTATCGCCCGTGCTATGTAAGCAGCTTATTAGCACTCAAGACCGCTTCCCTCCGCCGCCGCCGCCCCCCGCCTCAGCCCAGACCCCCGCCCCATTTCCACGGGTTTAAAGAGACGAGCCCGGCCGCGGTTATCCGGGCAGGAGAGGAAAGGCGCTTTCCCGGCATTTGTGGGTCCCCTTCAACCACTTCTCAAAACTCCCCACTTTGGTGTGGAGCTGGGGCTTTTTTTCCCCCGACCCCCCCCCCCGCCTTTTAAAGAGCAGCTCGGTGTTTTCCTGCCCCCCCCTCCTCCCCGGTGCTGAGGGAAGTGTGGTTTCCCAGCCTAAATCCCCCCCTTTGTGTGTCTCGTGAGGGCTAATCCTGCCCCCCTCGCACCCCAAAAAGACTACGCCGTCCGCCCCCCAACCCCCCCAGAGGCTCGGGAGTTTCGGCCTCCCCCCCAGCCAGCCGGCGGCCCCCCCACCCCCGCAGGATACTCACCCCGTGACAAGGATCCCGGTTCACACACGCCACAAACACACGCGCGCCGGCCACCGAGGCTGCCTGGATCTCGTATGTAGTCCAATTCACTGCAATGGCTGAGAGCTGGATCGATACGCAGCCTCCTCACTCTCTCAGCGCTGGTAACATTACTCTCAACACAGGGCTCTTTCTATTGGCTGCCGCCGAGGCAGGAGCTCCGCTGGTTGGAGGAACACCTTCCATTGTCCTGACCAGAGGAGGCTGCCGGTTGGACGCGGCGGGGTACACGTCACCGGGGATTGAAAGGGCGCGCAAATATAAAACTAGCTGAGAGGGAGAAGGCTGAGGCGGGATGTACAGCTCTGAAGCTGAAACTAGTGCTGTACTGCGGTGTATGAAGAGAGCAGCTCATAGGCAATAGCATAAGTCTCAACAGAGGCAAAAGGAGCTTCCTTCCCTTAGGTACACGGTCATCCCCACCCCCAAATAAGCACCCCCACAGCCTGTATAAAGGGTCCTAAAACTTCACCATACACCTACCTAGTCCCTGCTGTTTAAGGCAGGAAAAAAGCAAGCACTTCTTAAAGGTACTTCCCTTATATTCACTGTGATTAATTGGCCCGTAGATCTGAAACACACACGTGCCAACTATATATACATTCCATAGTATATCCCAGCAGGTAAAAAATGCAGCACAATAGACCTATAAGAAATAGTCCCATTTTCTATATGAATAAACTGAGGTCCAAGGAGATTAATGCACTCATCAGAAAGAGACTTATATAAATTTAATACACATTATTCCTCTAAATACATTTTCTTCATTCTTTTTACACATTCATTTTACAAGAATACCCCACAGCAAGCTTTTACAATGAAGTGAACTGTAAGTATGATGTGAACACACAGGAAACACTGTCTGAATTTTATAGGACATTCATAATTGGATCCTGCTTGTCCAATATCACAAATCAGCTATTTGTGATAATGTTCATAGTTAAACTATAGAATTTCCATGGTAATATATTGTAAGCAAGTATTTTTAATCAAGATTAACACTACTGCCCAACAGTAGAACTGCAGCTACAGCTTATTCCACATTCACTTGCTAGTCTTTCCACTATCTTTCAAAAAAGACGTACACAAGTCTGTGCCTTTCACAGACACAAGAGAATGTGAGTATGCATCATTCTATCCAATTCTTCAGTAAGAAGCAAAATAGCAGGCATTAAAATCATGTTATTACATTTTGCTATATTAAAATACAAGCCATATTTTGGTTTTGCCATTTTCCACTATGTTATGATAGGGTTTCAATATACCTTGAAGGACAGCCCACCTCAAGTTACTGTCTATGGAGCTATACTCAATACGTTACTTCCAATTATCCAAAGCTCTAAATACTAGTCAACAGTTTAACATTTTACTTTTAACTATACTACATTGGTTCACCCTGGCTCCTGTGTGAAAAATAAAACATAACATTTCAAAGCTAATCACTATGTATAATATCCTAACTGTATGCAGAATTTTTATGCTAGCACCCCACATTCTTAGGAACTAGTAGTGATATTAGGGACTTTCTATGCAATTGGGGCAATATAAAACATTACAATCCCTGTATGGAATGGGTTTAGCAAATGTTTAGCAAATCCAATACAGTATTGAGATCTTGTCCTTCAGCTCAAAGTTAGTGATAGAAATAACACATATTTTTAAATTTAATTTAATTTATACTTCTAGTTTATCCTTTACCAAAGGATCCCAGGGCAGGTTATAAAAACATTGCAATTAAAACAAGTACAGTTTACATTATTAGTCACTATTATTTATTATTATATTTATTAAACCACCCAGTAACAGAAAGTTTTCTGTGCGATAAATAGGCTTTTGAATGCCAAAGCTGAATCTGAGGTTGCTCTTTTACGAACAGTGGTTCCATACCTTTAAAAACAGCAGGACAGGCAGAAATCCACCAGGTGCAGCACCACCACCTTCACTGAAAGTAAAGCTTTGTGCTTCTTAGTATCTGTGGCCCTGTGCTCAAATCCTGCTTCCCGGTTTCTCACAGGCATCTGGTTGGCCACTGTGAGAACAGGATGCCGGACTACATGGACCATTGGCCTGATCCACGAGGCTCTTCCTATGTTCTTATGTAATGCTTAGGTTTGCTACAACACTATCGTAACTTACATGTACCTGCTGCGTTGTGAGGTGAGCTCTTTTCAATAATAAGTCAGAGCTGGATATGCTGGGCCTTCCAGAATGGTTTTTCAGTAACCTGCTGCAGTAGCCTCAAATTAAATGTGGTTTGCTTCCATGTACAGAAACAGCAGTCAAAATGGTTCAACTCAGAAAGCATCAGGACTGAGTCCAGTAGTGTAACACTAGCTCATGCTCAGAAAGCCCCAACATGTGCTCTTAGCTAGCTGGCCGTATTTTATGGCAAGACTGAGGAATTTCTATAATTTATCAGAAGTCTTTTTTTAAAATGTCTAAGATCACATACTATTTCCGTTTGTTGTGGAGATTGCTCTCATTCTAAGCTTCTGCTCTCTCATTAAATGGAATTCTAGATAAGGAAATACCTCCTATACATTTTAAGTCTGTAGTCGATGCTAGACTTTATGGAAATCCAGGTGCCGGGAAATGAGTCAGTAGCAGAACAGAGTGCTGGTACTGCTATTAATCTGAGAGAATGTTACTTTGTAAACCAAACTGGATTATACAATCTGCACCATTTATACTAAACTAAAGCCTGCAAACTGGCATGTCCACATAGATGCAGGAACAGTGTTACAGCTAGCATTTTATTTAGAGGTTTTAATTTAATTTAGTATGAATTATATCCTCATTTCCACTATATCCAGAACATTTAAAACAGAGAAGGGAATACAAGCAAGCAGTAGTTCACACCAATAAAATACCCTTCAGCAAATAAATAGTAAGAAGTGTTGATAGCTTGGGCAAACCAAACTGACTTTTGCCCAGAGTCCAAAGGAGAATAATGGAGACACTGGGTAATGTGGTTTAGCGGTTACAGTACTGCATGGGGACCTGGGAAGGGTTTGACTCCCCTCTCAGCCATGAAACTCACTGGGTGACCTTGAGCGACTCGCTGCCTCCCAGTCTAACCCCTTGCATCACAGGGTTGTTGTGGGGATTAAATAAGGGGGAGAACCATGTATGCTACCTTGAGGTTGTCAAGAGAAAAAGATGGGATATAAATCCAATTAAATAAATTAATAACATTCCTTGGGTGGGAGTTCTACAACTCCCAATGAAAGACAAGGCGTTCTTTCTGGTTGCCATCAGCCAACCCTATGGCCAGAAGTATACCTAGGCTCCCTTGGGCAGTTGGCAGGCCCTTGGGCCCCATCCCTTGCATGACCGGATTCCTCCACCCAGGCACCCAGAGGAGCCTGCGCACCTTGCCCAGGCACCCAGAACAGTGAAAGAGTGGCCTGGGAAGCATGCATGGAGAGGCATGAGTGTTACACCCACCCACACCAGACTGCGTGCCCCTAGTGGACACCAACCTGGTCAACCCCTAGGTATGCTATTGTCTACGACAGCAACTAAAGAATGGCTTCTGATGCACATCTCAGTCACTAGGCTGGCATGCATATATCTTTGTGTGTGTGAGAGAGAAACTGCTTTTCATATATTTTAGCCTTACAGAGTGGTGGTGGAGGGAACTGTCATCAAGTCAAGTCCTAGGTAGCAGCTGGGCTGCTGTGTTCTGAACCGAGTAAAGTTTGAAAAAGATCATGTAAAGGCAGCCCTGCAGATAATCCATTAGTTAAAACATGGAGCCAATGTGGTTCCCTCCAGATGTTGTTGCACACCAACTACCATCAGCCCCAGCTGCAAATGGCCAGTGGAGTTAAGCCTTCATTCTCCAGACATGCCCTCAAAAAAGGTCCTCCTTGAAGTAGCACCCCGCCCAGGAAATATCTAAAATAGAATGCTTCCCCCGCCCCAAGCCTAATTGCAGCAGGAGAGGCTGTGTGTGGCGGGGACAACACAGGACAAATGGAATGGCTCTAGGGTGCAGCAGAGTTGATTTACCCTGAACTTCTCACCCATCCTGACTTGCTATTGGTGACCTAAACCTCTGTCTGCCTCATGAGGCAATGGAGGCTGACAACCTTCTGTCTCGGGAGACAACGGAGTACACCTTTGGGGATGAAGTCAAACCATTGGAGAGTTACAGCACCTGCTGTGGCTGTAGAGGCTGATATGGGAGAGATGTTTTGTTGCAGCTGAGGAAGGTGAAGGCATCAGGTTGTGCTGCTGCAAATGCATCATGGTGTTTCTTCTCTTTGTGCTCGCCCCAGCTGTCACTCCTCCTCTGGTCACTGCTGTGGATGCACAACCTGTTTGCCTGTCTCCAGGCACTGTGGTCTGTAAGAGATTCCCACATGGCGGGATTGATGTTGCCAGCCTTCACGTCATGTTTGCAGACATCTCTGCAGCGCAGAGTTGGTCTCATTTCGATCGTCTGAGTTCTGCTTTGCCCAGTTTCCCCTAGGCAACCTGCCTTTCTGACATATTCACTGCAGGACGAATGACACTCCCCATTTTGAGGACTGTGCACATTAGAGAAACACTTTACTCTCCTAATTCCTCCCACATGTGAGACCCCATGCTTTCTTGCCCAGCAAAGTCTTGTGTTGAGTTAGGGTGCACAAAGGACAAATACACATACATATCTATCTATTAAAAATATATTAAAAAATAAATAAAATAAAATATTTCTGTCTATCACAATCCTCAGAAACAACATATTCTAGAAAGGCAGCCATGTTGGTATGTTATAGCACCTTAAAAACTAACTTATGTATGCATTGTGTCATAAGCTTGCATTGATAAGAACCAACAAGAGCAGCATTCAGAAACTAGTGGGAGAATGTTTAGCTTTCCAGGACACAGTTTCTGACTCTAAGTTACCTTACTTCAGCCATAAAAAGGCAGTAGGAGTCTCAACTGGGTGAACTAGAATTAATCAGCAAATTTGATTCCCATCTATTAAATTTGGACTTAATCAGAACTGTGGATGAATAAAACCCACAGTTCTGATTAAGTCTGAATTAAGCAGCATGCTACTATGGGCATTAAATTAGCATATCAAATTAGGATTATGTAGCTAGAAAAGCTGGCATTATCACCAACGGTGGCTATTGGAATGGACTACTGTTTTTATCTTTTATAAATTTGGGCCCTGAACAGAAATGCCAAAGGCTGACTGCAATTGCATCTCTTAGTAATGGTGGGCGGTGGTGGGGACAGTCCAAATGGAGCAGGCCTCGATGCTGTTTTGCCTGCCTCCCCACTCTCTCACAGGTGACCCTCGGCCCTATGGGAGAGAGGAGGCAGTTCAACTGGAGCAGGCCCCAATTTTATCCCTGCTTCCCCCACTCTCCCTGTCACTCCCATAGGGAATATGGTGTCTATTGGCCCTGTGGAGGAGAGGGGGTGGTCCAACGGAAGCAGGGAATTGTCCCTACCTATCTCCCTATTGGACGCGGGTGGCGCTCAGCGCCTAGGACTTGCCGATCGCATGGTCGGCGGTTCGAATCCCCGCGGCAGGGTGTGCTCCCGTTGCTCGGTCCCAGCGCCTGCCAACCTAGCAGTTCGAAAGCACCCCCGGGTGCAAGTAGATAAATAGGGACCGCTTACTAGCAGGAAGGTAAACGGCGTTTCCGTGTGCGGCGAGCAGCTTCATCACGCTGGCCACGTGACCCAGAAGTGTCTGCGGACAGCGCTGGCTCCCGGCCTCTAGAGTGAGATGAGCGCACAACCCTAGAGTCTGTCAAGACTGGCCCGTACGGGCAGGGGTACCTTTACCCTTTTATCTCCCTATCTCCCTCCCTCCCTCTCCCTTCTTCTCCCCCTCACATACAGCATGTAGTGTCTGCCCGAACGGGGGGAGGGTGGCAGAGGAGACAGTCTGAGCAGAGTAGCCCTTCTTGTTGCCCTTGCCTCCATTTCCTTCCTAAATGACAGACAAGGTAATTATAGGTGGGGCACTATGTACAGTCATACCTTGGCTTGAAGTAGCTTTGGGATAAGTATTTTCGGGTTGCGAGCTGCAGCAACCCGGAAGTAATGGAGCGCATGTGCAGAAGCAGTGAATTGCGAACCGCGCAGATGCGGGTTGCGTTCACTTCTGGATGCAAATGGGGCTCCAGAACGGATCCCATTCGAATCCAGAGGTACCACTGTATAGGTTTACCTTGGGTCCTCACTCTGCATTCAGCTCTCACTTGTGGCTCCTAGAAGCTGTCAGCATGTGACAGCTGCCACATCCCAGAAACAGCTTCAACTGGCCAGCTAAACCAGTTAAAGGTAGCCAATGGGTCTCAAACAGTGTTAGAAACTCAGATAGATAAGCTAATTGCTAAACGGCACCTTAAATCTAGGTTACGGTTGCCTAACAGAATGTCTAGGCACCATTTCTTTAGAAAGCTGGAGGGACCACCCAGATGGAGATGTTTATAGCCAACCTGGCATCCAGAGATCTCCAGAAGGTCGCAACTGGACCGGCACCAGTCGCAAAATATGCCTGGTGCATGGGGATTTTGAACACTTACCTAAGCCCCCTGCCCCTACCCCCACAGGCCTTTACCGTTCCAGGACGTGCCCTTCCCACCCACCCCCTTGGCTGTTCAGCAACAGGAAGAGCCTGCCTTGCTGCTGGCATGCAAGTTGATGGAACTGCCCAGCACACAGCGCTCCAGCTGTTCCTCCACGGCCAACACCCGCCGCACACCTTCCTCAAAGGCCACGGCCACATTGGTGTCGTCCTTGGCGCTTGTCTCCAGGTAGGGGTAGTTGCCGTGCTCCGTACACCAGGCCCGGGCCTCTTCGGGCATCACCTGCCTCTCCAGCTTGTCCACCTTGTTGCCCAGCACCACAAAGGGGAAGCGCTCAGGGTCCTTTACGTTGGCGTAGCAGAGGAACTCCTTCTGCCAGTGGCCCAGGTTGTCAAAGCTCCGCTGGTCGTCCACGCTGAAGGTCAGCAGGCAGCAGTCGGCCCCCCGGTAGAAGGGGGTCCGCAGGCTCTTGAAGCGCTCCTGCCCGGCCGTGTCCCAAATCTGGAGGGTCACCAAGCGCCCATCCACCTCCAGGTCCCGGTTGAGGAACTCCACGCCGATGGTGTGGAAAGCCTGCGAGTCAAACTTGTTGGTGACGTAGCGGTTCATGAGAGAGCTCTTCCCAACACCCCCATCGCCCAGGAGGATGACCTTCAGCAGCAGCGACTTCCCACTCATGACAGCAGCAGCAACCTCTAGAGGAAAAAGGCAGACTCCGTTAGTGGTGTTGGGATAGGAATAATTTTATTATTTGTACCCCGCCCATCCGGCTGGGTTGCCCCAGCCACTCTGGTTGGCTTACAGCATATATAAAACATAGTAAAATATCAAACATTAAAAACTTCCCTATATAGGACTGCCTTCAGGTGTCTTCTCAAAGTTACATAGTTCTGTATCTCCTTGACAGGGAGAGCACCGCTATCAAGAAGGCCTTCTGCCTTGTTCCCTGTAACTTCGCTTCTTGCAGATAGGGAACTGCCAGAAAACCCTCAGAGGAGGACCTCGGTGTCTGGGCTGAACAATGGGAGTGGAGATGCTCTTTCAAGTATAGTGGGCCAAGGCTGTTTAGGGCTTGAAAGGTAATCACCAGTGCTTTGAACTGTGCTCAGAAATGAACTGAGAGCCAGTAAATATCCTTTAGGACTGGTGTTATATGCTCCTGGCGGCCATATGACATCAAACATTAAAAACTTCCCTATACCTGCCTTCAGATGTCTTCTAAGTCAAACAGTTGTTGATCTGTTTTACATTTGGCTGGATGGCTATCTGTCATGGATGCTTTAGTTGAGATTCCTGCATTGCAGGGGGTTAGACTAGAGGACCCTTAGTGTCCCAACTCTTAGGTTTCTATGACCTGGGCGCCTAGAAATTGGCTCCTATGCTCAGGGTAGCTAAAGCGTGGCAAACAGCGTGGGTTTCTCTGAACCACACCCCTTCAGTGTAGGCTTGTGATTTGCTGTTTCAGTTTTGGAAACTGGGAAAGGGCAGCTATGCTAGGTGGACATTGGTAGTGTCCAAGTAAGCCAGTTGCCCCCATGTCATAGAATCATAGAACGGTAGAGCTGAAAGGGGCCACAAGGGTCACCTAGCCCAACCCCTTGCACTCCAGGAATCTTTTGCCCAACGTGGGGCTCAAACCCACAGCCCTAAGATTAAGAGTCTCATGCTCTACCGGGAACACAGCAGCAAAGGCAGAGAGCTGGTTAACTGCCCACCTGTTCTGTGGAGATAGGAGTCCTGCCTTCGGGGGAGCCTGGCCGATGCCACACACACAAATCACCAGCATCCCTGAAAGGCAAGGCAGGTCACTCAGCTTGTTGCACATCACACACACACACACACACACACACACACACACACACACACTGTTCCTATCGCTCCCCACATTGTCTCCACATCGCCTCTGGCTCAGTCACCTCATCTCCAGGTATGGCTAGAAAAGATTCCCTGCCTGAAACCCTAGACGGCTGCCAGTCAGTGCAGACAATAGTTGCCTTGGGGGATGACAGCTTCCAGCGTAATTATTATTATATTCATTTATATCCCATCTTTTTCTCCGATTCCAGGCAGTGTTAGAAACTCAGATATATAAGCTAACTGCCAAATGGCACCTTAAAACCAAGGTTCATAGAATCACAGAGTTGAAGGGTCGTCTAGTCCAAACCCCTGGAATGCAGGAATCATTGTAGGGGGTTGGGCTAGACCAGGAGTCAGCAACCTAAGGCCCATGGGCCGGAAGCGGCCCACGGAGGTCATTTGACCAGCCCACGAGCCGCCCCTGAACCGAGTTGCCCGCTCGCGTGCTGCGCTGAACCGGCGCAGTGCAGCGCAGGGACTTGCTTCCACAGCACCAAAAATCGCATCTGTGCATGCACAGATGCCGAAAATGTGCACACATGCGATCCGGCCCACGGAAGGATCTCTGTGGGACCGATCTGGCCCAGACAAGATAAACCTTGCTGACCCCTGGACTAGACCGTTAACAGAATGTCTAGGTGCCATTTTTTTTTACCATACAATTTACTATTATTATTATTAATTTCATTTCTATACCGCTTTACATTTTAAAGAAAACATCTCAAAGTGGTAGACAACATATAAAAACATCCAATCTAACCATCCAGAATAAAACAAATTCAAGCTCCTAGGAAAATATTTCAGATCCGTCTCTAAGGACATTCTGCTTTCCCCATATTTATTTACCAACGTAATTTATAAAGCTGCCCCAGAGCAAAAGAACTCTAGGAGGCCAGATCCTAGGTGGTGTAGTGGTTAGAGTACCTGGGGAGGTCTGGGTTCAAATCCCCACTCAAGTCTTGAAGCTCACTGGGTGACCTTTGAGTCAAACCTCTTCACCTACCTCACAGGGTTGTTGTAGGGATTAGCTGAGGAGTGGGGTGAACCATGGACTCCTTGGAGAAAAAGGTGGGATATAAATGCAACACACACTGCCCACGCTGCTAACACAGTGGTTTGACTTTACCCCTGGAGGTGCACTCCACTGTATAGACCCCACAGAAGGTTCAACAGGTCTATCATCCCCTCCTCACCCCGCTGCTCAAAAATGTTAATTCCCTTTGTCAGATCATTTTCATAGTTTCAAAATCCCGTGAAGCAAACAAAAACTGTACAAAACCACCCAAAAGTCACAGCACTGTAATACTTTATTAGAACAACACAAAATATCACAAAGTTGAAGTGCAGGAAAAGTTTGTGTCTTAAGCTTGTTATACATGTCCAGCGTCTTCAAACACCCCTCCCCTATCCAGTTTGCTCAACAGCTAACCTGATGAAAAGTTATGAAGAACTTGAAATATGGCTTTGTGACATTTTGACTTGCCCTAACCAAGGTATGGCTGGTTAAGGTATGACCACACTACCTGCAGCTTTTGGATTCTTTCCTTCTGGAAGTTATTCTGCAGGGACTTTAAAGTGGACTAGAGAAAGATACTTTGTCTGTAGAACTATTCTCAAGCAATTACTAGGGCGGGGGGGGGGGATGTGTGACTGCAACCTTTGTACAGCCTTCAGGGGTAAGTAATCAATCATGAAGTCTAGAGAGGTTAAAGAGGCATGAATAATTATTGTTCTGCCTTTGATCCTTACTATAGATTCAGTCTTATCAGCTCGTAACCTACACCACTTCCGGAAAGTCTGTGTACAATAATGGATGCAGAAGCACCCCAAACTGCAAACCTACATAACTAAGGAGCCTGAATGCTATGTTATTGGTGAACTCAATAAATGGGTATTACCACAAACTTCTATTCCAGTATTGTCTGGATTGACACCAGGTTTTCCAGATCCTGTCCCTGATACAGACAACTAAAAGAGAGAGGTGAACCGCTGAATGCAGTAGAACATTACTGGGAAGGTTCTCAAGAGATGACAACAGTTTCTCATCATTACTTCCACGAGTTACCTACCAGAAAATAGCAAGCCACTGAAAATACAAACCTGGAACATTTGTCAGGTTCTGCACTTTCACCAATACCTTGTTATAAATTCAATTATTGGTCATTGATAAAATGCAGAGCCATGTAACAATATCATAAAACCAGTCTGGAAACTGTATTGGTACATACTAAGAAGTCAAGTGCCGTTTAGGTTCACTAGTTGTTGTTGGCATCTGTCTCTTTGAAAAATACCCCAAACCACAAAAGAAGTAAAGACTGACTTGGCAGTAGGGATTAATCTAAGAATTGTCAAAGCCTCCATTCAGCAAGCCTGTCACTCAGCTGCTTACGGACATGTTAGGAACTCAAGCAAACCAGTTTCCTCTTACCATTTCCACATCCCCAACTGACACTTTAAAAATTCCATGAAACCTGAAAGCCAATGAGCATACAGCCTGGTTGGACCATTTAGGAGGGAGCAAATGCTTAATTTGCTCACTGCCAAATTTATAGCACCCAGAATAATGAAAGTTTGACACTGGAAATAATAATATGTATCTGAACTTAACCCAAAGTTGTTTTGCTGTCTATTTCCTGGTAAAAACTGTTATGTACAAATGCCTTGAATTTTGCACAACTCCAAATGGCATAATGAGCGATTATTGGCAAAATAGTTCCTCACATATTAGATAAGCAGAAGAAACTAAAAATTCCAAGAATCCTTTTTGCTGTGCTAATCAATATTAAAGCTGATTATACTATGTTTATAGTATGTTTATAGTATGTTGGGTAAGCAATGTCAAGCCTTGGTTTAATTATTCAGCAATATTTGTATGTAATGCAACATCTTTCTTTAGTGTTGTGGTTAGACTTGGGCCTGCGAGACCTGGGTTCAAATCACTCAGCTACGAAGCTCAACTTGTGCTATTCACCTTCACTCTGCCTAACCTACATTACATGGTTGTTTTGAGGAGAGAATGGGGAGAGAACCATGTGTGTCAGGTTGAGAAAGATAGAAATGTATTGTAGTTGTTTTTTTAAATGAAACTTGCTATGCACATTCAAACCTATATTTCAAGTTCTGAAACAGAATAAATACACCTGCTCAGAGGAAACTTACGTTAAATACCTTCTTGCCAATAAAGATCAAGTCTATTGTGAAATTCTGTTTTATAGCAACGAGGAGAAGACAGGCTGTGGTGACAGTGATGGTCGGAGAATCAGTACCAATTTTAATCTCTGGACTACAGATTTTAGCTGAAGAAGTATTATTTTTAATGTAAATAAATTTATAGGGATTTTTAAATTACATCCGCTTTTTCATGCAGATGTGACATATGTTGTTGTTGTTGTTAACTTTGCTGTCTGGTCTTTGTTAGAAGAAAAAATATTTAAAATAAACTGTATTTAGTCAATAATAGTTTCACTTACAAAAGAAGCCTGTGTGGTAGATAATTTGATTCAATTTTATTATTCCAATGTGTAGTCTCTTGAATCATACTGTTTACTAGTTATAGTTTGCACACATTGAGATCATACACATGAAACAATCACCTTCAGAATACAATATTACTTTCTTAAATAGAGGCATACTTTATTACCTGTCCTCCTCTGCTTTTTCTTTGATATGGCCTTTGTGTGATCAAGATGGAAAAAGCATGTTGTCAATACTTACCACACAGCCATCACTGTCTATCAAAAGATTTTTGCTATTCCTATGCTAGAAATGCTTACAAGGAAACAAGAGAGTCTCCAATTAATTATGTTTATTAATAAAACATGTATGTACTTCACTTTTTAGCTGTTGTTTTTTAACCACACAAGACAGCCATATAGGCAGTTTGTATACTAGGACTACTGAGGCAGACAGTAATAAATCTTCTGGTTGGAATACTTCCAGTTCAACAAAACGTGTTAGTGAACTACATTGGGTCTACAACAGAATGTTGCACTATTGAGTGCTTTTGTTCAATATTTCAGTACATTCCATCACTCTGTTTTGTTTTCTGTGTGTCCTCCACCCATCATAGTGTTCTGCTGCCACTGAGCACGCTCAGTTCTTATTGAACTCTTTATAGAGGGGGGCACCCATTTAAAGGTAAAAGGACCCCTGACCATTAGGTCCAGTCGTGACCGACTCTGGGGTTGCGGCACGCATTTCGCTTTATTGGCCGAGGGAGCCGGCGTCCAGCTTCCGGGTCATGTGGTCAGCATGACTAAGCCGCTTCTGGCGAACCAGAGCAGCGCACGGAAATGCCTTTTACCTTCCCGCCTGGGAAGCACTTTGACGTGCTTTCAAACTGCTTGGTTGGCAGGAGCAGGGACCGAGCGACGGGAGCTCACCCCGTCACGGGGATTCAAACCGCTGACCTTCTGATTGGCAAGTCCTAGGCTCTGTGGTTTAACCTACAGTGCCACCTGCATCCCATTTACTCCCCCTCTTAATGTTTTTTGTTTTCTGCTTCTGCAACCTCAGGGTTTTCCCTCAAACATGCTAGTAACTCTTCATTGTACTTGGATTTTATTGTTTTGGCTATGTAAGGACCAGCACTCAGAACCAAGATGACTATTGCCAAGAAAATGGCTTTCCTACTTCAGCCTGTGTAAAAGCTGGTCTCTGCAAGAGTTTCCCCCCATTAACTGGATTTGTTTCATCAAGTTGGAGCGCCTATGCTAGCTTGTGCTACTGTGCTTCAAGGCCAAAGCCGTAACAGGCTAACCGGGAAGTGATTTCAGCTGTGAGAAGTCTGTGAGAATGCACACAGACCAGAGCCAGACGTTTCTAGCTACCAAGCCTTTTGACTGGTCCTGGGGATCCATTGTAGCTGCTATGCTTTGTACTACTGCTATTTTTACTTCATTTTTACCCTATCCCTTTTAAATAAACCCACCTCATTTAAAACTGGTGTCTGTCTGCTTAGGTAAAGCCTTGGTACTGTATCTGGCCCTAACCTCTAGGTTATATGATACTGAGTAAGCTGGTAACCTAAGGCTTAGGAAGCAGAATCTGGTTTTTAACTTTTGCTTCTCTGGAATATTAGAGGTGTCTGGTAAGCTATGGGAGTCTCCTGGCCCAGGTTGGTTGGGCTTATGGAATGGTGGCAATGTACTACCTGGCAGGGTTGGCTTTAGACACCATTTGTACCATTAAGAGCCGATTCCTGGGATTTGGGGGACTAGGTTTTGACAACTATTAGTATATAATGTAATACTTCTGTTCAGGATTCCAGCCACTCCATTCCATTTAGCTCCCTCTGGCTTTCCATTCCCTCAGCCTCAAAAGTTCAGTCAGCGGTCTGTGCCCACTGAACAAACACAGTTCTCAGTGGATTGTTTTGGGCAGCTCTCACTTCCATCCCTGGCAATATTTATAAATAGCTTCTCAGTGTGAAACATGAAATGACCTATCTAGACATTGTGTGGGTTCCTTCTACTCCTCCCATATTGTGCATTTCTTCCTTGCACTGTTGTGTTCTGGTGATGCTCGCAGGCTTCTGGTTGGCCACTATGAGAAAAGGATGCTGGAGTAGGCAGGCCACTGGCCATCCTTTTCCAGGCACTTCATTCCACCCCACCCCCAACTGTCAGGTCCCCCCCCCAACGATCAGTCTGTTACCTCCAAGGATGTGGACAGGCTGCTTGGACAAGTGAAACCGACCACCTGTCTCCTTGATCCTTGCCCATCCTGGCTGATAAAAGCGAGCCGGGAAGGGCTGGGCGATGGCCTTATTGGTAGTGGCGCCCGCCCTGTGGAACGCCCTCCCATCAGATGTCAAAGAGATAAACAATTACCTGACATTCAGAAGACATCTTAAGGCAGCCCTGTTCAGGGAAGTTTTTAATATGTAACGCTGTACTGTTTTTAACACTTGATTGGGAGCCGCCCAGAGTGGCTGGGGAAACTCAGCCAGATGGGCGGGGTATAAATAATAAATTATTATTATCAGTCAGCATTTCATGGGTACTAGCCATGCTCAGCCTTCAATGAGCTATTATTGGAATATTCTCCCCACTGTAGGATTTTCCTCCCCACATATTTTCTGTACTTCTGCAAACTGTAGAGTTATCCCATGTCTGCTTATAACACCCTCTTGTGCAGAGGTGGTGTGGTTCTGGTTGGTTTAGATTCATTTAGATTTCCTGCTGACAGATCAGCAGATATGGTGGTATAGAATCCAGGCAATGGGTAATGTATATTTTTTTACACTAGTATGCCCTCCACCTCGTTGGTCTTTATTTATTTCCCACCTTTTTCTCTAAGGAGCCTAAGGTAGTGGACATGGTTCTCCTGCTCCCAATATAATCCCCACAACAAATCTGTGATGTACGTTAGGCTGAGACTGAGTCACTGAGTGGCCAAAAGTCACCTGGTGAGTTTCACGGCCAAGTGGGGATTTGAACCCTGGTCTCCTAGTCCACCACTCCAACCGCTCAACCACACTGACTCTCTGTTACAAAGATGCGCACACACCCATCATCTCTGGCAGGTATCCTCAAAAGAGTCCCTCAAAAGTATCATATCCTTTCCTCAAGAAAAATCTGCCTATACAGATATTTCAGAGTAGCTGGAAGTGTTGATATGAAAAAGTGGGGACCTGGAATCTAAAAATCAACTACTGCCAAGTAGTAACATATAACAGGAATCAATTTACATATTATCATGCATGCACCTGAGTGGGCAAACATCATGCTAGAATGGTCCCCTTTTCTCTGATAGGCACTAAGTGCCCACAACTGCACAATAGGAACTGCTTTCCCCTCACTTCATCTCCACACCAGGGGAAGCTGGTTGTATTCAAACTAGAATGCACTCAATAAAAAGGAGCCACCTTAAGGTACAGTGTTGAGGTCATGTAAAAGTAAGGGTCAGATCTTTGTATACAGTAAATGCATTCATGCACATATACAGATTCTTCATCAACAGCTTGACTGGTTTTAGGTATGGGCCACATGAAGACAGTCTTGTGGAGAATCGGGAAAGGCAATAACATTTGCAGACCATGACATAGAAACAAAGTCACAACAAGGTGTAACTCCATTGGTATATCTATTAAGATAAACATCTATCCCTGAAATGTTACAGCTATGTACATCCTTAAAATAAAACCCCTGGCCAATTTGCACCCATTCATTACTACTAATGAGCTTATGAAATGGAAAAATGTTCTGCCCCATATCACTGGGAAATAGATTTGTCTACTTTTTAAAACAGGATACCAGAATCTTTGATACATTTTACACCACAAAACTTACAATCTCTCTTTGTGGAAGAACTCTTATAAATGACTTAACCTCCAACCTTCTAATGAGAATTATTTCCTGGGTGAGACTTTAAGTGGTTTGCATCTGCTTAGGTCTGTGGTTAATCTGGAAACAAAGGAATTCACAGTTAAACCATGTGTCTCAAGTTAGCTAGCATTTATATGGAATTACATAAATGTGCACATAAAAATGATATAAAAACAATAAGTCTTGTAACACCTTAAAGACTGAGGCTGCCTGCATTCACATAGGAGTTTATTCTATTTTCATGCCTTTTCCCTTTTAAGTTCCACATTACATGTGAGCTTTCACATGACATAAAAGTCACTTCTGGAACTATAGTGGAATATAGGACAAGATTCGTGCTCATTTCCACATTATTTGCTTCCAGAAAAAAAATCCATTTGCAAATAATATGGAAATAAGTGCTAAACCTGCACAATTTTCCACTACAGTCCTGGAACCATCTTTCACATGGTGTGAAAGCTCAGATATACAGTAATGTGGAAATTAACAGCTACAGAAAACTAGTGAAAATGGAACAAACTGTTATGTGAATGCAGCCAAAATTTATTATTACAGGGAAAGTGTTTGTGAACTAACTTATTCTCCATCTTCAAGGTGCCACGGGAGTTCTTGTTGTGCTTGCTGCTACAGACCAGACTGACCATCCTTCTACAGTGGTACCTCACAAGACGAATGCCTCGCAAGACAAAAAACTCGCTAGACGAAAGGGTTTTTCGTTTTTTGAGCTGCTTCGCAAGACGATTTTCCCTATGGGCTTGCTTCGCAAGACGGAAACGTCTTGCAAGTTTGTTTCCTTTTTCTTAACACCGTTAATACAGTTGCGACTTGACTTCGAGGAGCAACTCATAGAATGCGGTGTGGTAGCCTTTTTTGAGGTTTTTAAAGACTTTGGTGATTTTTGAAGCTTTTCCAAAACTTTCCCGACACCGTGCTTCGCAAGACAAAAAAAATCGCAAGACGACAAAACTCGTGGAACGAATTAATTTTGTCTTGCGAGGCACCACTGTATAAAGTACAGTACAAGTTAGAGATAATAACCAGCAAACAGCATACGGTTTGGGGGTTGAATCACCTCCACTCTATACTAGCCCTATTGAGACCTCTAAGAACATGAGAACAGTCTGCTGGTTCAGGCGGATGGTCCATCTAGTCCAGCCTCCTGTTCTCATTGTGGCCCAACTAGAAGCCTGTGGGAAACCAGCAAGCAGGCTTCAAGCACAGTAGCCCTCTCCCCTCCTGCGATTTCCAGCAACTGTTATTCAGAAGCACTGCCATGAAGGCAGAGCTAATAGCCATCCATAGCTCTCTCTCTCTCCTCCATAAATCTGTCTCATCTTGCCATCTAGGTTGTTGGCCATCCCTGCCTCCTGTGGGAGAGAGTTCCATAGTTCAACCCTGAGCTTTTGCACGAAGAAGTACTTCCTTTTATCCGTCCTGAATCTCCCAACGCTCAGCTTCACCGGCTGCCCGCGGTGCCACGAGGGAAGCAAACGTTTCTCTCTCCCCTTTCTCGACGCCTTCGCACCCTTTCCCCACCGTGCTGCCTCCTCGCTCCTTTCCTCTTAAACAGCTAAATCCTGGGCGCGGCTGCCTCAGTTAAGCGGAACTTTGTCCCGCTTCTTCCCCGCATGTCTCCCTGGCAAGCTGCTGTCGCGGCAAGGGCGGGAACCGTTCCCGCCATGAGGAGAAATAAGGAAAGGTCGACTTTCCTCCTTTCACCTCCTCAGCGCTTCCCCACAACCAGAGACACAACGAGCCTCCTGACAGGCTCCTTCTCGAAGCAAAAGAGGCCCTCTTCCACGCGCGAGCCGAGGGGAAAGAGAAGGAGGCTCCCGACACCGCCCCCTCGGCTGCCATTTTCCCCACACGGGCCCGGCAGGCCCCGCCTCAGTGCGGTTGTGCGGCGAGGGAAAAGGAGGAGCGACGCGAAGCCGCTTCGAGAGGACGGCGCCGGAAGCTGCACTACAAGGCCTCAGCCGGCCTGAAGAACGCACGAGCGGCGTCGCCGTCGCCTGAGGAGCCGGCCGCCGCGGCTCTCCCCCTGGCGCCTGTCCCGCCTTCCCTTCCCGCTGGGGGCCCTGCGGTGAGTAACGGCTTCACGGGGCTCCCCTGCTCGGGCGGGGAAGGGGAGCCGCCGGCCCCCTGCTCCTCCATCTCCTACTCCTCGTGGCAACCCGGGTTGCGAGCATCCCGGCGTTGCTGTTCGCTTGCGTTACCTTTCGCTTACACGGGTGTCTAGGCCGCTTCTCACGTGACGACGGTGCGCTCGGCTCGTCCCCCCTGAGCCATCCGCGCGGCGGGGAGCGCGGGCCTGAGAGGGTCGCTTTCGCGTCTGGCTCGCTTGCTTGCCCGCACGTGGGGAAGCTTCTCCAGCTGCCTTGTTTTGTGTGGGGAGTGGCTTCGCACGTGACGGCGGTTCGCTTTTTCCCGTATGCGCAGCTCCCTCCATGTTGGGTGCTTAGACGCACTTGAACGTGGAAGTAAATCCCGGTCCTTGAGGGTATGTTCCCACGGAACGACGAGTGACCCCGAGTCTAAGGTTGATGATGGCAGCCTAAGATCTTGAGAGGGATCTTGAAACCATATTGCTGGGATTTAGCCCTGTTGGGTTCCAGAAGCCTCAGACATGCACAGAAAGCGGAATTTTACCAGGACCTGCTTTTCCTCCTGGCACGCTAGTAAGGTTGTTTAAACACAAAGACACACATCACCCCCTACAAGTGGTGAAATAATTCTTTTCATGAAACTTTTTAAGGGATGTGTGTGCCATCTCAGGAGCTAGACGTAACAACTTCCATTAGTTATTTAAGGTTTTCCCCCCAAACTCTTAAGCACTACAATGGAAAAGCAGCCTAAACATTCTCTGTTATAATGGTATCATTTAACAAAAATTAGCTATCTTATTAATGTGCTTTACCATCCAATTGTACTTGCAGCCAGGGTTGTTAAAGAATGAAAATCAGGTGCCTTTTGCCGTATTATCTATGCAAGTCATCATACGAAAGTGATACTGGCATTCTGTTTCATTGCTGACTGGGAATACTGAACCAGATGGTGAAAGCAAGGCACTTTACCAAGGAATCCAGGCATGTGGTACTGGGAGCACTCACACAAACTGTCTTCTATGCTGAAAACATGTGCAAGGGAATCACGAGCTAGTCCTGCCTTCTGCTGACTACATGTGCATCAGTCCCACATTTGGCCAGGTGAAACATGTTCCTGATTGGCTCAGGATTCCCGCTCAGTACACACAGAGTCCCATCCCACAGCCAGCATGTGTCAGCAGTTGGAATGGTGCATAGGGTTAGTAAGTAGCCTTTATTTTTAACGTGCTGAGTTTGACTTCCATTAGGTTCCAGTTCATAGCGATTGGGCTGTTATTTGTTGTACCGACAGATATTATGACTGCTGCTCTGTATTTCTGGACAGCATGCACTTTTCAAGTGTTAGTTACCAGAATTCATTTGGAACTGTAAAGACCTTCTAAAAGAAATATAGCATTTAGTGCATTTCATAGCTGCTGGTGCCTTTTAAAATTATTGCTATATTTTATATTCTGTTGTTGTTTCCAACGTTAACAGTTGTATATACAAAGCATTAATTTGTACTTTTGTACAACAACATTATATATAGTTAAAAACCTAGCCTTCTCAGTCTTACTAACCTTAACTAAAATATATCCTCCAAATTTGAAACTTTAGAACAATTCTTTTATGTATGGAAAAGCATATCTCTTATTCTGCATTCCTGTAACTTTAACCAGTTTCAGTTTTGGATATATGCAAAGTTGCCTTTTTCCTTTTTAAAAGCTGCCTTTCTGGACCAAGTCCACCCATGGTACCTAGTGGGTTAGAATTTTATGCAGACTGTTTAAAAACAACATCATTATAGTATTAAGGTACATACATTATAGCTCAGTTCTTAAGCCAATGAACATGCCACAGCAGAGTGCTCGTATCAATATTCAATATTATTAATACTATACTAATTGGTATTTCTACTGCTTATTTCTGTTGATATTAATCAACATAGGCCAAAGCAATATTGGTCTTCTACTGAAACATAATTGCAAGGTCATGGTTTTTTAATTCCAATTTGGCATTGACCACTTCAGTCTTAATATAGATTTGTTTGTTCAACCATAGTTGATTGCATTGTTTGGCACCTTCTTTACTGAATGCATGTAAAATCCTTGTGGCCAGAACAGTTCAAGTGTCTTTAGCAGGCCAAGCCCAGCAGCAATAGTGGCATGATTTGATTTGCTTATGACAAATATAGATGTATGGAAATGCTGACAGGTTTGGTTTACTTGTTCAGTTTGCAATACTCATTACTACTTTTTCATTACTTTCTTACTAATTTGTCTGCAGTCTTTTGCCTAACATGTTTTGTATCTTAGTCAGTTGACCACACACATGAAGTAAGAGCACCTATCTTTGTGCTATTGATGGTAGTTCATTTGTACCTATAACTATTTCAATGGCTTTCTCCAAAATCTCTGAATATCTATGTTCAGATTCCTACATTATAAAGAAAACTCTATAAACCTCAGATTCCCATTTCTCCATAATGTTAAGGAAGCATAAGGAGCAGTTCACCTCATTTCAGTGTTCTGCTGCAAAATAGGCAGGGCAACATTGCTTATAAAAGGGGTGCCCAAACTTTTTTCAAAGGGGCCAAATTTGGTGAAGTTTTTTGAGTTGTCAGGTATTCTCACTGAGTTTCTGGAGTGGGGGTCTGGTTGCAAGATTAGTATCATTTGACCATGAGATTTCCAGCAACCTCCTGGTTTTATATAAACTAAAAAGAAAATTGCAGGTGATTTCTTAAAGCTAGAAGAGTTGAGGTGAAAGAACAAAAACTCTGTTAATATTTGTGTATTATGCAAATGAATACATTTTCCAATGGGCAGGATACCTGTATTGCTGCCAGTGCATGACACATCATTTCGCAATCACTCATGCAAATGGTGATTGAAACCATGTGGATGAATCCATCAACTGTTGAGTCCATAACTACTTGAATTACTAATATGGTAATCTTATCTGATCAAAGGTATTAACTGCATCTTCACAAAAGAAATGGGCTCTCTTTGCCCACTAAAGTTTATTATGTAGTGTGTTTGTTAGTCTTTAAGGTGATGCAAGTGTTCTTTTTTGTAGATCAACATTTCTGTCAGGTATTGACATGGGTGTGCATTATTTGTTTGTGTCTCACCTAGTTTAGTCTACTAGTTAAGTTTGTGCTGCTTTAAGTGTCTCGGAGGAAAGAATTCAATATCAGTTACCGTATTTTTCGCTCTATAACACGCACCCAACCATAACACGCACGTAGTTTTTAGAGGAGGAAAATCCGTAGGCATGCCACCCGTAGGCATTCCCTCCATAACACGCACAGACATTTCCCCTTACTTTCTAGGAGGAAAAAAGTGAGTGTTATGGTGCAAAAAATACGGTAAATAAATGAATTACAATATTAAAAGCAATAAAGTTTCTTTCTGATCCTGAACATAAACATGGACTCTTGCTACAGAGATAGAATATATTTATTACTATTATGTATTAAATGTGTTAGTCACTTTATATTGCCCAGGGCAACCCAAAGCAACTTACCACCAAACATACAATAAACCGCACATAGGTACATTAAAACCAAGGGGAAAGAGGAATACATTTTTCAAATCCCACTCACTTCTAAAAGGCCACAGATAGTTAAAGGCCAAAGTATCAGTATGGCTGCTAAATCTGGAGATCAGCCAGAAATCAAGGTTGTAGGGCACTGGTTAATTGAAACAGTGTCTGAGCAGTCATTTCTATAGGTAGTGCTGAAGCAAAAGCATGTATTTGTTATTAGACTGTTACAAAATAGTTTGTGCTGTTGTCTATTACTTCAGCTATTTCACACCAATAGTTCAGTGAAAGTATTACCATTGGCTGCACCATTTTTAGGATAGTGATTCACAATTGGTTTGAAAGCTAGTGTGAGGTTATAGTTATGTTCTATGCCTGTTTTAGAACACTGATTTTAATAATGAGGTATTTAAAAGTAGCTTGAGTATACATAAAGATAGGAGAAGGTGTTGCTGTTTCAGTGCTTACTAGGTTTCTGTCAGTGGTCTTATGTGGACAAGCTGACGAGATGAATCCAAGCAAAGCTGTTCTAACAATGGCTAGCAGGCTTGTACTCTTTTTAGGAGGGGTAATAATAATAATAATAATAATAATAAATTTTATTTATAAAGTAAAGGATAATAGGTAAAGGATAATAGGGGGGTTATCTCCTCTAGGCACCCAAAATTACAGTCTTGGGCTGCTATTGGGTCTTCTAAGCATTTGAAAGGAGATCTAGGGGAAGTCAGAAAATTGCAGACCAGCTAGCCTAGCTTCTGTCCAGATGAATTGATGGAAACCATTATTAAAGATGTAAGCAATCCTTTTGAAGTCCTGCTTCACCAACATTTTACTGTTCTTTGCCTTCATCTACATGCTTACTGACACCCCAAACGGATAGATATTGTAAGTGTTGGCTTCTAAAAAGCTTTTAACAAAGTCCATAGCCAAAAGCATTTATTTAGAACTTAGCAGTCAAGGGATATGTGGATAGGTCCTCTTACGGATTAGAAACTGGTTAAAGAACAAGAAAGTACTTCTGATAATAGAGGGAAGTAAGAAGTGAGGTATCCCAAGAATCTTCATTGGGATCACTGCTATTTATCACGTTCCTAAATTGTTAGGAGGAGAGCAATGAGCTGGTCAAGTTTGTAGAATGGAACCAGATTATTCAGGGTGGTGGTAAAACCCATGGACTGTGAACCACTTCAGAAGGCTCCAAACTGAGTAAGTGGGCAACAGAATGGCAAGTGGGGTTCACTGTAAGTAAAACATAAATTGATACTTGGGCAAAAAATTTGAACTTCACTGATGGAATCTGAACTGGCAAGGTAAGAAACTTTGGCATTGTCATGAAGATTCTCTGAAAACATCAACTCAGAACATAGCTGTCACAGGAAAGACAAATTTCATGGTAGGGATTTTGCTCACCATTTGTGACTGTTTTTGACATTGGTTTTAAAAGCTGAAGAATATGTTCACGTACTATTTCAGAATGAAATGGGTTTTAGTTTAGCACAAGCTAGCTCTGAACTAACTAGCTTTTGTGCATTGCTTGTATGCAGATCCTTTCAGAATTACTGTGTTTTTATTATTATTTCTCTTCTTCTCTGCTGTTGATGCTATGACAGCGTATCTGCCCTCCCATGAAAATATTGAATGGCAAAGTACAAGAGAAACAAAAAAGACTATTGAACTGAATTGTACCTAGTGAGTTTCTGTTTACACTAGCTTCTTAAAGACCCAGTTTATATATGACCCAGATAACAGGAAAGTTCCTTACCTGTGTAAGCATTTCAAGTATTTCACGGTCATATTTAAATCCACATCACAGCAACCCATATATGTTTAATGTGAGCTAACATGGTAATGGCATGCATATGCCCATGCTGTTGACTGTCGGAATGCTATTGGCACATACACATGATCTGGTGCATGCTTATTTTAACATGAGAGAAATGAAATGCATAATCAAATGAGTTTTCTGCCCACCCCAAAATGGCCCAGGTCAGACATAAATTGGGCACAGCTGAGGTCTGGCTTGCACCTAATGCTAGCTGATCACTAACTAGAGAATGGGAGAAGGGAAGGAGGGGATGTACACATGATCATGTCTGCAGGAGCTCCCAGTCTATCTATAGTTAATTGATTGGGCATCATTGTACCTGCATCATCCGTGGCACATACACTATAGGCAAGACTTTCTGCCTAACTTTGGTAGCACTATATCAGGCAGTGTTATCTATTTGCTTGGGCTGAAATGTGAACAGCAGTTTTCATAGCACACCCAGTGTAGAGCACCTAGGATGACATGATGCAGTTTTTGTCATCTTCCCTAGATTGTGCCACAAGTTGCTTAATTGCTTTGCAGGTAGAACAGCAACAATATTTTCAAGAGCTGTTGGGGCTATTAATTCATCTGTTTATATTCCAAATACGAACTTCAAGTCAAGTTAGTTGCTTTTCATGCTTGTAGGTTTTTGGTGTGGGTTCTCTCTCACTCACTCTTTCACACACGCACATTTCTTTATATGGTTTTCTTGATTTAAGGAAATGCATCTACTTCTATGCCACACAAAAAATCTTTCTTTAATGTGCTTTCTAAAAATTGCTCTTGGGGAAAAAAAAGCTTATTTAACTTTTCTTGTTCACTTCTTATTTTTCAGAGTATATGGGGAAAAAATCCTTAGGACTGTTGAAAAATTGCAAGTGACATGATAATTTGGCCAGTGCCTCAGAATGATGGATTGCCAGAAGATTGGAAATGGTTTGCAAGTGACTGGTATAGGGGCATCTGCACTCCACATGGTGGGGTATTTGGGAAAAGTCAGTTCAGTTCTCTTTCACATTGTGCAAAGTTCTCTTTTTTCATTCCTCCTCCTCAAGTTTGAGAGAGTTTTTCATTTCTATTGGCCTAATTTATATGACCTTCCCAAAAAAAATTGTAAAATTTATTTTTCCACGGAAATCTTACTGAAATGGCGAAAGATTTACTTTCAAATGTTGTTACCTATTCCCCAAAAGTTTATGAACACATTTGATCTATTGCTGGTTATATTTTCACGGTCAGACTGATGGTAAAGGCTATTTTGTTCAGTGCATATAGCCCAAACAGTCAATATAAAAGCCAAGTATAGTATCGTTTGCTCTCATCTGTATTTGATTTGTTATGTTTCACTGCTGTCAGATTTAACTCTGAAACACATAAATGCTATGAAAGTCATTTTACCATGTTTTAATATTTGGCCTCTCAAGAATAACACATTTGTTGTTTGTTTTACATCACTTCAGGACTCCAATTCTGCAGAAGTAACTCCCGATGGAAGTTGCCCAGCTTGCAAAAAGAAGGGTCTCATACGAGGTCTAAGAATATATCACCTCAGTTTTGAAGAATCTATTTTCTTGTGTGAAAATCCACAGGTGCATCACTCTTTCTTGTTGAGTTGGGATTGGTCCAGTTTTCCTATAATCCATGATTCTTAATCTGAACACTTATACTAATTTCCTAAGTAGTTGCCGTAACGTTTTATAACTGGGTATCCCTTTGGCATATAAAATAATGGTTTCATTAAACCGCAAGTACTTTATGTTTGAATAGATAGACAAATTATGGCTTGTGCTTCGGGATGAACAGTGAGAGAAAAATGGTGTTGTGGGAGGAGGAAAGGCTAAATCCGTAGGAGAATCTGGGAGGGCGGTGATCTAAGGGTACATAGCCTAAGCGCTGATTAATCCAAGCCTAATTCATCAAAACTAGAAATTTAATTCCTTTTTGTAAAAGTCGGAAAAAAGAGAGCAGCAGCAATAGGCACATCAAATGTCCAGAAAAACATTTCAGAAATATCCTTTCAAAAAAATAGTGAGAGAAAAACCAAATATTACTCTGTAGATACCCTCTTTCAAGCCAATTTTTATGTTTCTAAAAATGTTTCTGATTTCAATGAACCAATTTATAGTATCGTTGACTGTGAAGGGTTCTGGAATTCTAAAGAGAACTTACTATCTCAGAGAAGTGCTATTTAAAACACATTTGGATTTTATTCGTTTTTCATTAGGCGTTGCATAGCTGTTGTTTCTGTATACAGCCCTCTATTGCATCCCTAAGACCCACCTTGCATGTTATTAATTTACTCAGATATCTTTGTGTTCCCCTCCTCCTCTTTTTCAGTGCATCTACCCTCTGGGATTTGAACCACTAAGCAGCATTATAATTCCTACTGATAAAAAGGATTCTCCATCTCAGGGCACTTGTAGGAAAAGAAAGTCATCTGACACAAGCCTGGTAACCTCTGCTGTTCCCCAACACTTAAAACTGACGAGGACTGATAACTTGATAGAAAATGAGAAGGCATTCAAACCTGATCTTGCTCCCAAGTGCAATGGAGATCATCTGTTTGGGACTCGGTCAGGGCAGCCTGACTTTCCACAAGCCAGTCAGCCGAACTTTAATAGTGCAACAGAATCCGTGGAGCAGCAAATGGGCATGAAAATGGCAGCTCAAGGAAGTTCACCGGAAATTTTCAGTGTTCAGGCACAGCTTTTGTCAGATCCTGAAATTGGTTCATCATTGTCTCAAATTCTGCATCAAGACAAACCATCTCGGCCAGAGCCATTGTGGCTTCAGTGGAAGAATGTGTACGCTCTCTGCTGGTTAGATTGCATTCTGTCAGCCCTAGTGCATTTAGAAACACTAAAAATGCTTCTGAGTGGATCAGTCCTGGAAAACGTATCTGTAATCCAGAGCCTATTTGCAAAATATAACGAAGCAACTGCACTTGTGAATACTTGCCAACGAGGTAAGCCAAACACAAGTGTCTTTTTTCCTTTTGCTGTCAAAATAATTTTTTAAGAAGAGAAATCAGTGGGGTGTATAGAACTCTGAGCCTTGGACAATGCAGCTGTTTCTTTTATAGTCGGCATAACGGTTTAAAATCCATGCAGACCTTACAGCCTCCTTTTTTCCTTACTTTCTCAAATAAGTTTGTGATTCTAGTATGTGCACCAGCCTTCAGCTTTGGAAAATGAACCAGCTTTAAGTAAAAAAATCAGTCTTTTAGAAGCATTGGTGTAGTTTTTCTGCTTTATATTTCTACTTTCATAAACTAATCTTGCGCAAAAAAGCCCCCCACATTTGCTCAGATAACTCAAAAGAGTGATAGCCACTACTGCCTTTCACATAATAACTTCCCAGTAACATAAGAGATGGGGGTGTGATTTTTAAAAAAATAATAATCAAAAAACAATTTCCCCTTCCCCTTTAGCCTCCCACAGCTCCTTCCATGCTGTTTTGGAGGGTCCCCCAGCCCCCTGTAACAGATTTGGGGAGGGGAGACAAGGGACTGCAACAGGAAGGAGGGATCCACAACAATTGCCTCCTCTCTTAACATGAGTGAACACCTCTTATTAGATCAAAACCTGTTCCACCAATAGAACAGCAGCATGGGCTGTTGCTCATTCTTCTTTTCCCTCATCCATGAATGGCATCAGAATCTGCCCAGTGTGATTAGATACATCAGATGATGCAATGCTTGCTTTGTGAAGGCTAAAATATTCCTATCATACTGTTTATTGACATCAAATACTTGCATGGAGTTTGTACAATGCATTTTTGAATGTTGCATTTTGGTTATGCTTTCCACATCAGCTTTTCTGTTAAGGAACATCTGAATTGTTTCCTTCAGAACCTTCAGTGCACTGTAGATGATTCCAGAGCATGTTCCAGCTCACATGCTTGGTTCAGATAAAGTGCCAGGTAGGCTCTCAGAGCCTCACTGTAGCTCTGCTGGGAGCGACAGTATACCCTATAACACACTCATCTCCTCTAGCTTTATGTTCCAGGGAAAGATCAGTAGTGATGGCAAGCTGTCTTCCATTGACTCTTGTCTGACATTTCTCTTTGATGGGTGCCTGATAAGCTTCTGAAGACACCATGGTTCTCCAGGAAGCAATTTGAAAGCCACTTCATGAGAGGCAAGGCAGAGGTTTGGCTTTGGCAGATGTCCTAGTTGATTTAAGTGGTTCACACCACTTGCCATTAGCTTTGTATAGTTCTTCATAGAGATGGTTGCATTCATCTGATTTCGCAGCACTGGAGATATTTGTGAGCATCTGAAGTCTGGTTACTTGTATAGCCATAACAGCTACAAAACAAATAGGATAATTACATCTATTTGATAGTGTTACCAGCTCAAGGACAATGTTAAAGTGGTATATATACATACATTAATAAGTGGAATAAATACTCAGTTATTGTTGGTACAGAATAAAAAAATGGCAGTTCCTGGAGACAAAATGTTGATGGATCATTCTGTTTTGTGCAGGTGAATGTGTTTCGGAAGTTCCTTTGGATGTTCTTTCAAGAGCTGAATCACACTTGAATGAAATCAGAAATACAATTTTTGTCCAGCTTCAGCCACAGCTTAAATGTAAATTAGGTAAGTAATTGCTAAAGGGTTTTTCATTATTGTCGTTGTTATTATTTTACATATAACAGTGCTAAGTTTCCAAATGTGACAGTAAACTAGTGCCAAACCTACTTTCTTTTTTCCCTGTATTGTAAAGTTCCTTTATCTTTAGCTTCTTTGTGGGTCCAGAGAGAGTCATTCCTCAAGAGTTCTGTGCAAATGTATTACAATGCTAGTACTTCCTTTCTGTCCATCAGCTGCAAACTACTTTTCGTTGTCATTAGCTTCAGATAGGATTCCGGTTTCAATGATCTGATGCCTTTGTGTGTTCTAGCTGTTTTCTGGGCCATTGATTCCTCAGTTAGGCATAAGGAGAATACTATTGAATCAGATCAAAGGTCCATCTACTCCAGCATTTGGCTTCCCACAGTGGTCAACCAGATACCTTGGGCAAGTTCTGAAACTGAGTGTGAAGACCGTGCCTTTTTCAACTGATATTTAAGGGTATACTGCCTCTGAACATGCAGATTCCATTTAAGACATGGGAAGCTGCCTTATACAGAATCAAGCCATTGGTTCACCTCAGTGTTGTTTTCACTGACTGGTAGCAGCTCTCCGGGATTTCAAGAGTTTGGATTTGATATCCCACTTTATCACTACCCAAAGGAGTCTCAAAGCAGCTAACATTCTCCTTTCCCTTCCTCCCCCACAACAAACACTCTGTGAGGTGAGTGGGGCTGAGAGACTTCAGAGAAGTGTGACCAGCCCAAGGTCACCCAGCAGCTGCATGTGGAGGAGCGGGGAAGCGAACCCAGTTCACCAGATTACAAGACTACCGCTCTTAACCACTACACCACGCTGGCTCTCAGTGCCACACAGGCAGGGTTCTCTCCCATCCTCACCTGGAGATGCCAGAGATTGAACCTGGGACATTCTGCATGCAAAGCAGATGCTCTGCCACTGAGTTATGGCCCTAACTTAACATAGGGTTCCTTGTTAAGATACCTTCACCAGATTTTCTAGCCTCTTCCTGCTAAGTAGTAAGTGCTCAGAGTTTCTCATCATGTATAGCCCAATCCTGTGTCAGAAGAAAACTGCACTCAAACTGCACTCTCTGTGCACACTCACCTGGGAGTCCCATTGAACTCAGTGGAACTTGCTTTTGAGTAAAGATGCATAAGCTGCTGCTGACAGTTACTAAAAAAAGTTGTCATAAATTAGGTCTTAGGTTTTGTTTAATACAGGAAGCAAAATGTATAATTATTAGATATTTCAATGACTTAAAAAGTATATAATTCAATGCAAAATTCAGGTATCTTTAGACCTTCATACTTTCGTTGTTTGAACTGAAAGCAAAACACGCTTTATGAGCCTGTGCACCAGCGTTTGTAAGAATTGGCCCTTGTAAGTGCTTTCTGAAATATGTGAAACACCTTTGAAGAGTCACTAGATTTTGGCCATGTTCAGCAAGGTATTTTACATTATGTAAAAAGGACCTGGATAGCTCAGTTGGTTAGAGTATGGTGTTTATAATGCGAAGGTTGCAGGTTCGATCCCCATATGGGACAGCTGCATATTCCTGCACTGCAGGGGGTTGGACTAGATGATCCTCATGGTCTCTTTCCAACTCTGTGATTCTATGAAACATAGTAAAATGTTTTTACTGTCCTGCAGGGCGCTTTCATGTATCTCAACCCATTTCTTTTCTTCAAAGGTAACAAGGAGAGCCCAGTGTTTGCATTCCCTCTACTTTTAAAGAAGGATCCTCAAACAGAAAAACTGTTTCTCCACTCTTATTCATGGAAGTTTGAATGCTCACAGTGTGGCTACCAAGTCAATGACAGGTTAGTTTCTGCTGAAGTTCTTTCTCGTCTTCCCTATTACAAGCACATGTTAATCTTCAAATCAGCGTGGATGTCTTTATATTTTTCTCTGCAAACAGAACATGTGCAGGATTGATGGGGTGTTATGAGCATGCCATACGTCTTCTTTCACAGCGTAGCATAAAATGTTGTGTTTGCTGTCAGAAAAGACAAGCTATCTCTGCAGTACTTGATAATTCCTGAGTTTTTCTTGCTGTTGGTCAGAATTGATCCTGCCAGTTAAAGGGTGCATTCAAGAGCTGAACACTGCAATATATGACAGTAGCCCAAACGTCATGTTTAGCCTCAACATAAATGAGGTTCCCAGATACATCCCATTCTACTTCCATTCTACTTGATTCTATTCCCTGATAAAGACACCAAGTCCAGGAGCATAATATCTCACCCCATATTGACAGACATTCCCTCCAATGGCTATTTGCTAGCCTAAACAACCAGCACATTTTGCTGGCAGTACAGTTCTCCAAGGCCATGTTCACATGCAGGGGAGAATCATGTACACATCCACAGATATCTTTTTTGTTTCTGTTGCAGACATGCCACTGCTTACAGTCAAGCTTACTTTAAACTGGAAAATTCATTGTTTATTGAATTTCAGTCACCTGCAAGCAGCGGGTATATATTCCTGTAGCTTTTAAAAACTGTTGCATGGGGTAAACGTTCCCACCCTAGGGCAATCCCTGAAATTTGCCAGTATTTACTTCTTTAACTTGGAACTTAAAATTACATTTAAGCTTTTGGTTGCAGCAGGTTCAGAGCAATTTTGAATGTGGATCATTCATATGAATGACTCTTCTGGATGTCCCAGGTTTAGCTTGGCAATAATTTTCTCACAGCACTGGATCATTTCTTATTTCAGGCGTCAGAAGACATTGACAACATTTACAAATATCATCCCAGAATGGCACCCGCTGAAAGCTGTTCATACTGGTCCCTGTAATAACTGTCACCACAAATCTCAAAGAAGAGAAATGGTTTTAGAAAAGTAAGTGTGAACCATATTAAGCTGCTGATGTGAGTAAAACTACATCGCAGGTGGATAATGAGCTGCTGCTAGTGTTGTATGAAAATGCAGTTCTGGCATAATATTAGTAGCCTTGCTGGGTCCCATCATGTAGCTATGAATTTGCCAGCTAGACATCTGTGCCTACCTCCAAGGTTCTGCTATTTGAAAACCATGGCTTATGGAATCTCATTCTATAAGCTCTCAAATAGTCTTATTTGGGTGGTTTTATAAAAAGCTTTTGAGACACTTATGAAACTTTCATAAATGGAGTTTCCTAAGCAGCTAGTTGCTAATTCTGCTGTGTGTGGATGATGTATCCAGTATTAATAATGCTGTAAGATACATAGTTCTAAAGCTACAAATTGTTGTTTCTTTGATAGTGTTTCCTCGGTACTTATGATGCACTTTGTGGAAGGCTTGCCACGTAATGATCTGGAGACCTACTCATTTCAGTTTCAAGGAGATTCCTACCAAGTAACAGCTGTTGTTCAGTATCAGGAGGAGGCAAGACACTTCATAACATGGATCTCGGATTCAGATGGTAAGTACAGCGCACTCCCATCACCTGTCCTTCAATAGGTGTCTGTCTGCACAGGCTGGCGGAAAGAAAGCAGGAAACACATGTAAAAGAAAAAGCTTACTGTGCAAAATGTACCAGCCCTCTCAGGTCCTTCATCAGGAAAGTTCAGTCTTGTTTTGTTATGCTTTCTCCCTTTTCCTTTTAGCTCCCCTGCAATTTGCCTGGGACGTTCTCTTTTTGCTGCAAGTCCTGGTTGGTAGCCTCAGATGATTCTGGGAAGAAAAGCAAGAGATTAGGAACCCATAACTCAGGCATAGGCAAACTCATCCCTCCAGATGTTTTGGGACTACAACTCCCATCATCCCTAGCTAATAGGGCCAGTGGTCAGGGGTGATGCGAGTTGTAGCCCCAAAAACATCTAGAGGGCTGAGTTTGCCTATGCCTGCCATTAGTAGTATGTGTGCTGTTCTGTTGTAAGTTTTTCTAACCCAGTATACATAAGCTATCACTGTTTCATAATAAGTAGTTCCAGCACAGTCATGTCCATTATCCCCTTGCCAATCCTGTCCCAAAAGGCACCTGGGAGCCTCCCACAGTAATGGGGAGGGTTTTCCCTCAAAACCCTTCTCAGAGAGGACCAACAATTATGTCTTCTACTGTGTGGTGATCCAAGGTGAAGATAAGAGAAAGCTCGAAAACCATTCCTATATCAGTCCTATAGCCAGTCATTCGGATAGCTCAGTTGGTTAGAGGCTGCAGGTTCGATTCCCCGTAAGGGACAACTGCATATTCCTGCATTGCAGGAGGTTGGACTAGATGACTCAGGGTCCCTTCCAACTCTATGATTCTATGAAAATAAGTACAGTGGTACCTCGGGTTAAGTACTTAATTCGTTCCGGAGATCCGTTCTTAACCTGAAGCACCACTTTAGTTAATGGGGCCTCCTGCTGCCCCCACGCCGCCGGAGCACGATTTCTGTTCTCATCCTGAAGCAAAGTTCTTAACCCGAGGTATTATTTCTGGGTTAGCGGAGTCTGTAACCTGAAGCGTATGTAACCCAAGATACCACTGTAGTACTCATATCCATTATTAGGAACACTTTCTGGCAAGGTGAAATAAATGCTCACATCAGACTTGTAAATAACTGTTTTCTTGATCTCCGGTGGTGAGTAAAAATTGCTTCCAGGCAGGGAAGCCATTGTAAAGTGGTAGAGAATTGGAGACCATTTGTGACTTACATAGGTATGTGTGGGCGGGCAGGCTAGTTGCTGTTTATTTTTGTGGATATATTTCAAAGCTGGTTTATCCAGTTAAGGGTGCTGAAAGACTTTGAAATGCATAGAACAGTGATTTCCAGAGAACTGTGATGAGGGATTATGCATCCTAAAATTCTGAACTGTTCATTTCTCATTTTCAGAAACTTGGCTTGAGTGTGATGACTTAAAGGGTTCGTACTCTAGAAGACACAAGATCTTTGGCGTTCCCCCTTCAGAGATTCACATCGTCATCTGGGAAAGAAAATCGCCACGATTGACAAATGGTCAGGATTCGCAGCTAGAAAGTGAAGTGGCTACGAATGTTCCTTTGCTAAAAGCACAGCCAGATTCTCCATTTAAATATGCTGATTGCAAGTCTACTGGCAACGCACCTTTAATTTATCACACCGACAATAACTTGAATGCACACACAAATGAGACACAAAACTTGATTGCGAATAACAACAGTAATTTGCTTTGTGGCTTGGAAAACCTGGCCAATGATGATGTTGTAACTTTGACTCTTGTACGAGTTCCACTTGACTCTGAAGGTAAACCACTGGACGAAAGCCCTGCAGTGGAAAATAACATGACAGTCAGAATGGACACATCGCAGCTGCATGATCCAGGTGGAGTTAAAGTTTCTCCAACTACTTCTGAAAGAGATGTTGCTGGGAAGGAGTGCAAGTTACTTGAAAATGGCAGTACTCCCTTGCATCAAGGGCAGCCAAACAATGCAAGTAACATGCTTATAACGCCGGTCGTTTCTCTGAGCAATAGCCATTATTCACCAGAAATGTTACCAGTTCAAGGGGCAGAACCTGAAGTTCCGATCAAAGATAGCAGCAGTTTGGACACAGCAAATCAAGAAAACAAAAGCAGCAGAACAAAAGCAGGGAATAGTGTACAGATAACACATAGTACTGTAGAACACTGGAGAGAAGCAACAGCAAATTCCCAGGCTAGTTCTGCTTCTTCCCCAAGTAGTTATTCTCACTCGGCCCCTAAAAACGGAACAAAGTCGTTCACAGGCAGTTGGGTAAAGGGTTTACTTGAAAGATCTCATCCTCTCATGCCCAAAAGTTTATTAACCTATAATAACACGGAGATCTGTAAAAAGCCCATTAAAAAAGAAACTCGCTGCACTTCACTTGGTAGACAGGCAAGCCACTTTCATGGTTTTCAAGCAAAACATTCAAAAAACCAAAGGGATAAGTTAATGGAGAGGGCATTAGATTCTTCTCACAAGGCTCCTCCTCTATCCTCACCCACTCTTTTTGCAAGACCCCCTATAGAAAAGCATCACATTGTTGGAAGCAAAAGTAATGCGGTGGAGAGTGCTGGCTCACTGGTTGCTTTGGGTAACCAGATTGGGCCTAAACCGAGCCACAATAAAACTAAAAGCTTTACATCGGCTGAGAATGTTGAAGAGTCAAGCGTTACAATAGCACACCGACTGCGCCTACAACTTCAACAGCAGCTGAAAGCTAAGAAGGAGAAACTGGCTTCGCTAGATAAGGTGGCGAAGGCTCAGGTGCGAAACAGGCGCTCTCCCAAGAAAAGGATGAAGGATCAGTCACAGCTTCAATCCCAGAAAGAAAGTGACTCCCTGCAGAGCTTGTTAAATGCCCTGCAGGACCAAATTGATGTTGAAGATAGTAAATCTGTGAATTCTCTAAGCACCAGTATGTCCCAGTGTAGCAGTTCAAGTTTTGATGACATTTTATCTGAGCTGCTGTCTCCCACTACATCTGTTGCTTCCTTGGAACTTCCACAAGAAGAAGAATGTGGATATGGTGCACAGGAAATAAACCATGACCATAATTATCATAGTCCAGTAAAGGAGAATGGATATGAGGACCGTACAAACCTGTCACTTAAATCATCCCCCAAGAAACTCGACTTTGAAAGTCCAACAAAACAATTTAGTCTAGAAGAACTGTTGCCTAGTTCAATGCTGAATTCAATAATGGCTGACACTCAAGACTTGCATCACTTTGATGAAACCCTCTTAGCATGGTGAATTGTGTTTTAACAATTTCACATGTTTCTGTTAGATGGCTTTAAAGCAAAGCATAACTTGTGTTCCAAGCTAATTTTGCACATGGTGGTTCTTTGGATTTTTTAAAATGTGAAAGTTTTTTTACTATGAGGTTGGTTTATTATTATTAATAATAAATTAAGACAAATGGGAACAGACAAGACTCTGGATTTTGTGTCTGAAACAGAGGTGATAACAGGTAGATTTTTGACAAACAGTAAAAAGTTACTGAGGTAGAATTACATTCACACAAGAGATGTCAAAGAAAAATGCATAATTGCTGAGCCACAGAAATCTGGTAATAGATCACAAAAAAGTATATATGGCATCATGTTCATAAGTGTGGCAGCACAGTTGCTGACAGATGCTTGTCTCAAAACTCTCATTGGCATAGTCAGCTCTTTAAAAAAGAGCTGTTAGGTTTCTATTTTTTTCCACAATTATGTGTGTTAAATTATTTTGTTTTGTACACTTGAAAGAAAAAAATATGTTCTCAAAAGATACCTAATGAAGCAAGTTTCATCTAAACCAATAATGAAGAGAATGTGACATAAACATACATCTTTTCAGCCTGCTCTTTCTGATTAAATAATAGTCCTTTGTGATTGCTGTGTTTGCGCATAATGCTAAACCGTGGCTTGCTTTAACCCTGATTTGTTGGGGGTAGGGGAACCTGAGTTGTCTCACCGATAAGCAAGTAAGACATGGCTTACTTCTAGAAAGTTGGTTTGTTTTCAGCTGTTCTTGCTTTACGCCTCTGTAGCTTGCCCAAGTTCTAGAGATTGGTTGGCTAAACAAACCATGGTTAAGCAAAGTTGTTCGGTTTGGACAGACCATGGTTAGTCTGATTGTCTGGATTCATATGTTCACAAACACCACATTTTTGCTAAACAGGTCATGCCTTAGTTTAGTTATGTATGAAACCGGGCCACTCCCTCTTGTTCAGATGAGTTGTGAGGTTTAAGATTCATTTAGGAGGCACTTAGGTTTTATTACAGTCAAGTAGTATATAAATTTACGGGACGCGGGTGGCGCTGTGGGTAAAAGCCTCAGCGCCTAGGGCTTGCCGATCGAAAGGTCGGCGGTTCGAATCCCCGCGGCGGGGTGCGCTCCCGTTGCTCGGTCCCAGCGCCTGCCAACCTAGCAGTTCGAAAGCACCCCCAGGTGCAAGTAGATAAATAGGGACCGCTTACTGGTGGGAAGGTAAACGGCGTTTCCGTGTGCTGCGCTGGCTCGCCAGATGCAGCTTTGTCACGCTGGCCACGTGACCCGGAAGTGTCTCCGGACAGCGCTGGCCCCTGGCCTCTTAAGTGAGATGGGCGCACAACCCCAGAGTCTGTCAAGACTGGCCCGTACAGGCAGGGGTACCTTTACCTTTACCTAGTATATAAATTTAGTTAAATAAAAAATACGATTTCTGGGACCATACTGAAGGGATATCAGCAAATCTACTAAAACTTGAATCAAGGCATTTTAAAACACACCCAGAGTTTCAATCAAAATGAAAAGAAAATTGTTTTCAAAAGCGGAGGCAGTCTAAAACTGACTTATATTTCTCATTGTGTTTTTAAGCACCCTTTGAGAAGCAAGAAAGCATGTTGTATTTTTCACATTTACTTCATTGTATTGATTATTCACATTCCAGAAAATGGATCACTATTACTTGGTGAGGGAATCTTGGAGTGCAAGTACATTTATTTGTCGGCCTGTCGCCACCTCTACTTAATGACTTCATGCCACCTAAATGCATCTGCTCCATAACTGATGTACTTCTTGTTAGGTAATGCTAACTTAGAGCTAAACCTAGGAGGCTGCCAAAGGCTGTGTAGAAACTGGATCTTGCTCTGATCTTATATTTGTTAAATTTATATATGACCTTTATATTCCAAGGATCTCAAGGTGGCAGGTGTGGAGGACTCCCTGGTCCTGAATAGGGTAACTGCCCCTGAAGGACCAGGTGCGCAGCCTGGGAGTAATTTTGGACTCACAGCTGTCCACGGAGGCGCAGGTCAGTTCTGTGTCCAGGGTGTCTACCAGCTCCATCTGGTATGCAGACTGTCTCACCAGAGTGGTGAATGCTCTAGATATCTCCCACTTGGACTACTGCAATACACTCTACATGGGGCTATCTTTGAAGGTGGCCCAGATACTACAACTAATCCAGAATGCGGCAGCTAGACTGGTGACTGGGAGTGGCTGCCAAGACCATATAACACTGGTCCTGAAAGACCTACATTGGCTCCCAGTACGTTTCCAAGCACAATTCAAAGTGTTGGTGCTGACCTTTAAAGGTCTAAACAGCCTCAGCCCAGTATACCTGAAGGAGCGTTTTCACCCCCACCGTCCAGCTCTGAGAGCCTTCTGGTGGTTCCCTCACTGCAAGAAGTGAGGTTACAGGGAACCAGGCAGAGGGCCTTCTCGGTAGTGGCACCTGCTGTGTAGAATGCCCTCTCATCTGATGTCAAGGAAAAACTACTATATGATATTTAGAAGACATCTGAAGGTGGCCCTGTTTAGGGAAGTTTTTAATGTTTGATGTTTAGTTGTGTTTTTAATATTCTATTGGGAGCCGCCCAGAGCGGCTGGGGAAACCCAGCCAGATGGTAAAGGTATAAATAATAAAATTATTATTATTATTACATGGTTCTCCCCATTTCATCCTCACAGCAACCCTGTGAGATAGTTACAGATAGGTAGCCGTGTTGGTCTGCCATAGTCAAAACAAAACAAAATCCTTCCAGTAGCACCTTAAAGACCAACTAAGTTAGTTCTTGGTATGAGCTTTCGTGTGCATGCATACTTCTTCAGATACACTCTGAAGAAGTGTGCATGCACACGAAAGCTCATACCAAGAACTAACTTAGTTGGTCTTTAAGGTGCTACTGGAAGGAATTTTTTTTGTTTTGCCTGTGAGATAGGTTAGGCTAAGAGATGGTGTCTGGGCTAAGCTCACCCAATCAGTTTCATGGCTGAGTTGGGATTCCAACACACTAACCATTAAGCAGAGACTCACAGAGGCTTTTTACAACTTAAAAGGGAGGTGGGAGGAGGCTTGCAAAAGCCTCTGCGAGTCTCCTACCTCCACTTTAAGATCGGAGCCAGAGCAGCTGATGCGCAGAGATTAAATCAGGCTGCCTCGCATGCACAAACCTGTTCCCTGCTAGGAACATGGTGGCACAGCTCATGCAAGATTAAAACCTGCCCTCCTGTCCATTGGTTGATGTCACTGGTGTGACATTGTCTGATGGGCCATGGTGTGGGGGGAAACAACCTGTTGGGCCAATATTGTTCTGGATGCTGTAATTTAACACACACACCCCGAGTTAAAATTTCCAACTGTCCTTGATAAACTACAGTGTGCAGAATTCGGGGGGGGGGATGCCTCCAATGGTGGAGGGCAGAGCAATAGCCATTGTGGCTAATA